AAAAAAATTGATGACAAAAATAAAGTTGAAATATTCAACATTGTATCGATATGTGTGTATCGAAGTTATAATGTTTTTTATTTCTTTGATTTGATTAAACAATTTGTAAAATATTTTGAATTTAATATTTTTATGCTTTTCTTGTATTGTCTTATGTATTATCAAATGTAGATCTATTTACTCAACTGAATGAGTATTTTTGTATTTAAATAAGCCATTAAATAATTAAATATACGAGTATATTATATTTTTTTTATCAAATAACAATTTCTAGAGTTGCCATTTTATGTTCCAATAATTTATACTGTGTATAAATTATAAATGTGTGATCTTTTTTAATGGGCCATTTTACGATTATACTATTTTTAACCCTTAAGCAGGCGCGTACCTATTTTTAACGTTCATAGTCGCGTGGGGGTCTATTAGACCCCATTTCTAAAAAAGTATAAAATATGTATAAATAATTTCATTTTTTTTAATTCAAAGACATTATTTGTTACCATATGATATATAAATATGGATAACAATTAAAAAATTAAAATTAAAAATAAATAAATGACAAAATTATGTGCATTACTAAAAATTATATTCAAAAAAAAAAAAAACTTAATTTTCAAAATTTCATTAAAAAATTTTGGTTTGTAAAAAAATTATTTTAACTGCAAAATCTTATTTTTAAGACGGTAAATAAAAGTTTTACTATTACAAAATGTATTTTTATTGTATTTCTTTGAGCTCAAACATGGCTTATATTTACTAGTTTTATGTGTATTTACATTTACATAATCATTTTTCTGAATTGAATTTTTTTATTATTAATATTACAATACAATTTAATTATTATAATACGAGTAGTGTCAGGAGGGGTAAACGTGAATAGTGGTAATTGTAAATGAGGCACCGATAATCAATGTGTCCACATTGCGACGGGATGTATTTATTACATGTTTTGTTCGTATTTGTTCCGTATCATCGAGTAGTGGAAATTCTCAATAGATTATTTATTTTTAAAACTTAATTGCACAGTCGGTGGCAGATACACATAATCCCAATTCCACAATATTATATCGATTATAACATTGCATTTACGATAAAACAATATTTTGAAAAAAATACAAGTCCAAAAAAAAATTATAACGTTCATAGTCGCATGAGGGTCAATATAACCCATTTCAACTTTGATGGATATTTTAAGTCATACATTTTTTTTTCGAAGGTATTTATTTATGAAAATCTATTCAATATTACTATAAAAACCATATTCTAAATTTAAATCTATGTACGCCTTTTATTGCAATATAATACATCCGTTTTTATTTATGTGGGGGGTATGCTAGACCCCCACGCGACTGTTTAAGGGTTAAACAAAAAATAAATGTCGTTACAATTTTTTTCTACTTTCATATTGCATGAAGAAAATTTAAATGAAACAAATAGAGTTTATTATTATTTTTATTTATCTTATTTTCACAAACAGTTTTGTTGAATATTCATAGTAAATTTTGTAATAAAAAAAAGTTGTCATTAATTCTTATGCGTAACATACGATGGTAAATAAATGATTATGAGTCATAAAGTCTTATGCCAAACGACATCATTGAATTACTAAAATCATTCCTTATTGATAAAGTAAATATAACATTTTTTGGTAGAGCCTGATAATAATTTTTTACACATAAATCAATAATCCCAAATCGCATTTTTGTGACAAACTTTTGACTACAGACCACAAAATTATTTAATAGAAACAATTAAATAATGAATTATTGGACCTTAATAATTTAGTAAGTGATAATTTTAATTTTTTTGATATCCTATTCTTTCTATTAAACAATTTTTGTTGAAACGTTAACTCTGTGGTAACATTTTTTCATCAATTGAAAAAAAAGTATCCCTTCAATACATCAACATTTTTTATTGTAAATTTCAATTAAGTTATATTCTTTTGCACTTTAGTATTCAGTAATAGTTTTGAATCTTTGTGATTTATTTGTACATTTTTATTTTATTGATTTTTTTAACAATCAGCGTTTATCTCCTAAATTTTTGATTTGCACATAATTATTACCATAATTTAATATTATGAGTAACGAAAACACAAATGTTTATCAGGAAATATACGATGCGATAGTCTTTTCTTCGTAAGGATAATCGCCTCTCAATAACACTTTATTATTGGTTTCCTTGTTATGATAATACTGTGAAATCGTCATTCAACTTTAAAGTATTAGAACTAAATGGAAATTTTTGTAATCATTCAAAGATACAGAAGGAAAAATTCAAAAATATGTGAGAAAAATCGAAAGAGTTTTCATATGCAAACCAACACTTATATTTTGATTTAAATATAATATAATTCAGTTAAAATATAATATTAATAAACGTTATTCGAATTTTAATGTAATATAAATGATATAAGTATCAGCATAAAAAATGAAGAAAAATAATATTATTTTTAGATACGGATAAGCAAGTTTATGTAACACTGTATAATGGGTAGTTCTTAAAAATGAAGTTTTTAAATTCATTCAATACGCTCATTAGGATTGTTTAATTATATAAAAAAACTATTTGTACCAAATTTGATTGTAATTGAGTGACGTTAATATCTGCTGCAAAAGGGTTGAAAATTGTAAAGGTAGTAATATTAATATATATATTTTTTTTTTTACTTTATTTTAATTTGAACTACGTACAAGTAAAAATATAAGGGATTGTAAATAGAGGAATTAATTCTTCATAAATAGCCCTAATTTTGACAAGGTAATCTTTGTTAATAACTTTTATGCATGTAAAGACATAAAGCATTATTAGTTAAAAATAAAAAATTCTTGCATTATTTATGAATTTTAATAACATAATTAATGTATATTTCAAAGATTTTTTATCAATAAACATATAATTTTTTATTTTTTATATGCACATAAATCCGGACTCTAATTATATCTGTCAAAAAAATATTATTATTATTGAACTATTTTGCAATTAAAAATTTTTTAGCGCTTATATTTTCCTGGAATTAGGTATGTCAAAGATGAATGTAAAATATATAGCTATTAATCGATCCTGAAATAGCTATTCTAATACTACAAGATTTGCTATCGCAACAGTATTATTACATGCGATATTGTATTATTTCATTGTAGCTAAATAAACGGAAATTTACCTTTATCTATAAGTCTAATGATTTTTCAGTTTGAAAAAAGTGAAATAATGAAAGAATTACCCAAATATATATATATATTTTTGTACGCGAATATACATATTTAAGTTTACTTATTTCGTTTTGCTAAATAACGAAAGGAAAAATAAGGCTCATTTAATAGTATTTGGAAAATATTTGTTTTTAAATAAAAATACTTTGTAAAAGTATTTAAAATACTTAAAGGTTTAAAATACAGTATTTAAATGCTTAAAAGTATTTGAAAATTTTTACTCGAGTACTTTGCAAATCTGTTATTCGGGTAAAGTGAATAATTTTTAATTTTTCTGGAAAGTTGTATTAGTTTATTACAGTTTAATACAAAATTAATTCCAAGAGCAAATTTAAAATTTTAGATAATTTTAAAACGTTATTACTTATAAAAAGATGTTTAATAACAATACTTCGGATTTATTTTTGATCCTAAACCAGACATATCTGCTTTACCAGGGGTTCCCCTTTTAACCGTTTCTACAAGGTAATTCTTTCAACACTTGATTTCTTTTAAAATAATAATTATGTTAAAAAAATTATTTTTGATAAATTTTAAATTTAGTATATTTCATGATTTATAAATTATTATTACATATTTAACAATCTTATAAAATAAAAAAGTATCTAATAAAAATAAGAAAATGACTGATCGATAATAACTTTTGACCCATTATTTCAGAAATTATTACCAATTTAAAATATAGATTGGCGGTGAGGCGCGGGTATGATATTATTTATCATACATTTCTCAGACGCACCGGTCATCCCGTCTAGTTATACAAATTTTTAAATTGTACTTGAATAATAAAAAACATCTGTGATGATCTGGGGCTCTACATTACGCGGACACGGCTGTATTATTTTTTGGATAATTATTCTACCAGATACACTATTTACAAGGCCTACGAACTTATTTTTATAGACTACCTTTGCTCATCACTCATGATAAAATTGTTAAAAATAAAATATTTTTTTCAATAAGTATCCTAAATCATAACATTTACAACGTATATATGCTATGAATAGCTTAATCTGGATCTGCACACGAACCAATTGCATAAGAAAAGAGACAAAATATAAATGTATTATAGTTATCACTAATGGTATCCTACTAGTAGGTATATCTACAAATGAAATTCTATTATAAAGGAGCTTCATTTTACATTGTAACAAATATCATTATAAAGTTATTATAAATAAATATTAATCTATACTTAGCGTTTATGAACACAATACTTATTTTCCAGTCAATAAAAATAATAATTAGAAATTACTAAAAAGAAACACACAATACAAGGTTTACTTTTAGTAGATCATTTTTTTTTTTTTTTGCGAGAAATATTATTTTAAATATTATTCCTTCAGAAAAAAAACAAAATTTATATATTGTAAACATTTTTATAATGTGATTTTAGAAAATCCATATAAAATATTAGTCTAGTTATAAAAATGTTCAAAAGCCTCAGCCATATCGTGGATACTATAACTTCACATGTTTTAACAATTAGTAAACACACAAGTAATTACTGAATACTTTTTGCTTGCCATGGACAGTAGAATATGAAGATTTTGTCCCCACTACTTACTATCAACTGTAATAGCATTACATCTTCTGTTAAAGTACCCTGATGAGATGTCATAGTATGGTTACAATAGGTCAAGGTTTATTTTAGACAATTATTTCTGCTATCATTTGTAGTTCACTAATCGGTTATTATCATTATAATAATATAATTTTTATTTTCTTATTTTAACTATGCAAAAATATAAATATCTTATTCGACATATTTTGTATTTATAATAAATGTATTTATTTTTTTTTGTTATTGAATTTTGGGAAAATTTTTAATTATAAATATTGCGATATTAGTGAAAATTATATCTAAATTATGAATTAATTTTGTTAAAACCACTTAAAATATACAAAGAATTAATACATGATGGCTAAAAAAAATGCAGATCCAGTTACTCAAAGAATTTTTTGTTTTTTTTTGCGATGAAAGTATAGAATATTGTAACTATATATTATTAGATTGTCTACATGTTTTGTGTGAAACGTGCTTAAAAAATAACATTAACGATGGTATAAATTATTTTAATTTATTTTTTAACATTTACCGATTTAGAATCTAGTAATTATTATTTATCCAAAGAGGACAGAATAACATACAAGCCCATTGCAACAAAATAAAACCCTGGCACCTATCACTGAGGCATAGTGGTCAAATAATTTCTTTTCTTTTAAATTAAGCTGCAATACGCCTTTATTTATTTACGATATATATGTTTTATAACCCTTTTTTAAATCTTCATTGATTAAAACTTAAGAAAACGAAAAATATTTAATTAAATTTAATAATTGATAATTACACAGCACCTTAAGTTATATACACCTAAAAATTAATCATACCATACTTGTATCACTCCATGCTAATATTTTATAATGAATTACATTTAATAACTTCAAGTTTTTAATGTATATATTTAAATTTTAACTGACTTAAATAATTAATAATCTTGATTTTTTTAGAATCATATGAAAGATTCAAATACAACTCATAATGTTAGTAATATATCTCACTCTTTGCTTGAACATTTATGTCCTACTCACAACTCTGTAAGTAAATAAATATTAATTCTTTACAAAATTTTATTTATAAAACCAAAAATATATATTATAAGATTGCTACTACTCAATTATAGAGGGAAAAAATTTTATTTTTAAAGATATTTTTAGTAATTATTAATATTATTCAAATTTGTTTTATTAAAATTAAATTAAAGTGTTGTTTTTCATGGATTTTTATATAGGAGAACTTGAATTTTTATTGTAACTATTGTGAAATAGAAATATGTTCACTTTGTCAATTGTAGGAGCACAAAACACATTCATACAGTGGTTTAAATGAAGTCGAGGAAAGAATCAAATCTGAATTATTAGACAGGAAAAATGAATTGACATAAGGCTATAATAAATATACAAAGTATATATATATAGGGTGTTTAGTAAGTAAGGAAACTGGTTTCTATTGTTCTCATTGTTTGTAATAATTGACCTGTTTCCTTACTTTTTGAACTTCTTAGGTTTTTTTTCGGCTATTATTCTGTCACACATACAATCCTCCAGTCTTCCCTATCCTCTGCTCTTACTCTCTAATCCTGTCCTTCATTCAGTGCTTCCTTAATTTTTTATACATATTTTTTTTCAATCCTTAAGTTAGTTAATATCAGTCAGTTAGTTATGGTGATTAGATTGATGTATCCTAGGAAAATTTTAAGTGCAGTGATTTCCCATTTCCTTCTGTATTAGAGCCATAGTGTTTGCTGCCATCATAATTGACATGTTTTAAACCATCTGACAACCAAGAGAGGCAGACAGAGCTTAACTTCAAAGCTTGTTAGCACCTGAAGTATCTACTGTGTCACACTATGTCCTTAAATTATATGTTTATTTAATAATAACTACTTCTTTGGTAACAAAATCAATTACCATAGAAAATAAGAATGTAGTGTTCATCAAATTATAGGTTATTAATTGATTTGAAATTTAATAAAATTAATAAACTATTTTCTTTTACTAAATTATTTATAATAATCAAACTTCCTTCTTATTTTTTATTTTACTTAAATTTAAGAACATGAAACTACTTTAGTTGAAAATAATTTTTATTTGTGTTTTACTCTTATTAAATTTTTATATTTAACAATACATACTGCAGTTAATTTGGGTAAAAAATTATCTTGTCTATATTTAAATAAACTATCACATCATTATAGTACAAAAATTCTAATAGCAGAATCCCAAATCTTATAAAAATTAAATAATTTCAATTTCCAATGTGTTGTGTAATTATTAATTATTTATGTTTCTAAAGTAAGTGTATGTTATTTTAAGGTTTTAAAACAATTGAGACAATAACGGGGGAAGAAGTAATGTCACAAAAAAATATATATATTACTGGAGAAAGAAAAAACCACTTATGTAAAAAACTTAGACTTATGACAAGTGTCATTTTATTTTCAACATGGTTTTTATTTCATTTAGAAATTTGGTTGAATTTTTAACCAGATTTTAGGATATGTATTTATATTTATTGCCTCAACAAATTAAATTTACTTTAACACACTTAGTATTTTCAATTTTATCTATATATATATTTTTTTTTGCACAGAAAAAATATGACTAATATAACAAGAGACTTGAATGTAATTGAAGAACAAAAAAAAAATTATAGATTTAAAAAAAAAGAAATAGTTTGTAATATTAATAAGACTATATCAGTGTATGTATATTTATAAAAAACTAACATAATTTTCGAAAAATAATGCAATGTAATTGTATACTTTAAAAAAAATATTTCTGTCTTTCATTGTGCAAAATAATTTTCTCATCAAAGATAAAAATGTGGTTCCACGAGTAATTTTTCTAACATATTGTTAGTATTTTAAAAAAAAAATATTACATTTTTATGAAAATGGGTTAAAAGTGGGAAACTAAGTTCTTTCTTGAATACGAAGAATAACTATTTATTATAATATTTTAGAATTCTATTATTTAATAATATTTAAAAATTTACAGTTAACATTTACTGTTATGGTGAAAAAATTTTCAAAAGGAGCTCCTGAAAAATTCTTAAAAGTGTACATATATGTTTTAGTGTGCTAGAACATCAATAATTATTTTATTTATTTATCTTAGGATTATTCAAGAAATTAATTGACAAAGTAACCTATTAAAAAATATGGTAGAGAAACTATATAAAAGTAATATTAACCAATAAAATTAAATAAAAAACAAACTATTAAAGAAACAAAATGGTATGAACTATTATGTTGATTTTATAGATATTGTTATTAATAATAAGAATAATAAAGACATAATTAAACAACAACAGTATGTAAATTTGAATTAATTTTTCTAACTAAAAACATTTACAGATGTATTAAAATACAGTTAATTTCAGGAAAATTAAAAACCGGTTAGATCACATTTCTGTAAGTATATCTAAACATTTGGAAGATCCTGTTCAGTTTAACATGTTTTCATATGCATTAAAAAAAAAACTCAAACAAAATTTAGTAAAAGCTTTAAAATGTAAGTATTAATATATATTTTAATATTTTATTATAATTTATCAGACTTTTAACATTTAAAAAATTAGTATTACAATTATCTTCTTATATAAAATAATTTTTACAACATTATAAATTTTACTTGTGATTTATGTCATTTGTAGTTTTTAAATAGCATACAATTTAATTATTAGAATTTGTTATTATAATTTTTGGCTCAATATTAAAAAAAAAACTATTTTTATCCTCTATAATTAGACAAAGGTTTGTATTTTCTAAAAAAAAAGCAAATGTCCAAAGCCGAAACTATATACAAGGGTGTACATAACAGGCAAATAGAGGTCAAAACCTCTCATGGTAAAAATAATCACATACCAAAAGTTCATTTATAATTTGATTGGATTGAATGATAAAAGTTATTCTTGTATAAAACTCCACCTTCATTATAAAACTCTAAACACTTCACTAAAATATATAAATTAAGGTATATATCAATAAAATACCTTATTTTGCCTATGTAAACATCTAGTAGAAAAAATACAAAACACTAATGGTAAAATTAAAATTTTCAACTTTATATGGAACCTAAAAACTGACCAATATATTTCATAAGTTATAATAGTTAATCATAATTATTTTTATGTTATAGCAATAAAAGATTATACACATTTTGAAATTGATAATATTAATACAAAATTGCCTAAAGAAAAACAAAAAAAAAAATTATCAATTACACCATTAAAAGTAATTAACATTTTACTATAAAATCTATTATATTATTTATCTGTAACTACAATATTTAATGTATTTAAATTTATATTTCTACAAATTTTAATGTTATTAACTACTATTAGAAGTCTAATCTAACTTTTAAGAAAAATACTTAAAGTGGAACCATTTATGTTAAAACAATAAAAATTAAAACACAATATAATATTGTACTCTAGAAATTAAAAAAAATTTGTCCTAATTTAGTCAATATTAATATAATAATGTAGTATTTGACAAATACTTACTTTATTTTGTGTTTTTATTTAATAGCTTCCAAAAGAAATATCTATTTCACTTTATCAAAAACAAAAATTAAATACTACTACATATTCAAAAAAAGTGGTCAATGACATGCAGACATTTCAAGCTTTGGTAATTCATTGTATTAAAATTGATAAATAATTTTCTCAAATTATGTTAAGAAGGACTTAAGTCATATTCAGAAACTTTTTCTTAATTACAAAAATAAAATTAGTAAAATTCGTAATATGATCAAACAATTTCAACTATAGCAATAAAACGATAGACTCAATGAAATTTTTACTTATTACTTTTATTTTGTAAAATTTAATTTTAAACAATTTTTGTATTAAACATTAGGTCATAACATATATGGTTCATCAGATATGATGAAATATTCGTAATTATGCCAATTTTGACAAAATATTATTTATTTTGACATCCTTCTGAAATACTAATGGATTTAAAAGGAAAACTGTTGAATTTATTTTATACAAAACGATTAGATCTACAATTTAGTTTCAATTATTTTTTTTGTGCTAATTTACAAGTTAATTGCTGAAAACTAAAAAACTGTATCTTTTTGCTGATTTTCAACCTCAAATCAGCACGGGTTAAACTTATGTAATCGGCCTAATATTTTTTGAATACACACAATTTTGAAGGATGATCCCAAAGAATTTTCAAACTTTTAAAAATTAAGGGACTCCCTAATAAGTATAGATGATATAATATATAATATATTATGATCATGATTAAGTATCACTATCATAAATGACGCTTCGATGAAAATCCATTAAATTTCATAATAGTTTGTAAATTTTTAATTTCGCAATTTCTATATTTTAAAATGTCATTCAAATATTAAATATTTTTTACAGAAATTTACGGTTTTTGGTTTTAAAGTCAAATAACTATTGAACAAATAGTGGAAACTTTTTTTTTTTTCATCATAATGTATTCTTAAAAAGACTTAATTTAATATATTAAATTTATTTATTTAATATACTGAATTTCCAAGAACATTTTTAAAAATTAAGTTGAAAAATGAATTTTTACATGTTTGAATAGTGTCTTTCAAACCTTTCCTGTATTTTAGTTATTCTTTATAATTTTATAAAACATATACTAAAAGAAAGCATATTGCCTCTAGATTACTGTGATAAAATTTCATTAAGATCAGGGTTTTAAAAAAAGTTCATAACAATTTTAAAATGCAGAAAATACCATTTGAAAGGTTTTTTTTTCTTCAAATTTTTTAATCTAATTGGTTTAGCTACATTAAAATCGGTCCAGTGAGAACTAAATATTTTTTTTTTTAGTTGAGAATAATTTTTACTAATGTCCATTTTAAACATTAATTACTGCCAAATGGCCCAACTCAAAGCAATTAAATATCTATTATCATTTAAACCATATCAATCTACTAGTAAGATATTTACTAGTATTGTTAAAAAACACAAAATATTTGTTGTCAAAAATTAAGTGTTGACATCTGTAAAATATTTAACTATCCCAAGTTGACACCATTAAATAAATCAACTATTGTCATTCGTTTTTGTATAATTAAATAAATTATTTATAATGTACAACCAATATTATTTTCAGGTATCAGAAACACCTCAGGTTACAAATATAAAACACAGTGGTATATATGAAACAAAAAAAAATATTTCAAGTATATTTTCAAAACTTTTTTAAACTTATGATCTATTTTTTATCATTACAGCTTTACTTTTTATTTATTTATTATATAAAAAACATGGTGTATAGTTTTTACTAAATCATAAATAGATCTTAATTCTTAAACTAATTTTTGAAATTATTGATATCACTGTTAATGATAAAAAAATGTTTAAAAATGGGTTAAATTTAAAATTAAGTTTTAATTCAAATTTTCAAGTCAATCACTATTTTTTTGTTATAATTTTTTATTTGTAATAATTTTGTGATTATAGTTCTATCAAGAGTGATTTTTTTTTTTGTACAAGAAATCAATGCTATAAGTATATCCCCCTTTTACTATAAATCTAAATTTTATGAAAAATAACTGAAAAATTTTAAGAATGGCCACATTATTGAATGACATGTCTATCTTCCTTTTAAAAGGCTATAGTAACAGATAAACGCTCTATCGGATAAAAATTAATTGTTAAAACAAAATTGTTTATAATTTTTTTTTTTTCATATTATAAAGTTAAAAATAGGTTTCCATTTAAGTAAATTTAATATAGTTTTTAACCACAAAAAGATGAAAATAAAGTTATTTAACTACATATTATTACACATTTTATTTAATTTAATCATTTTTCTTTATACAAAAATTTTAAATTCTCATGAATTTCTGAGAAAATGAGGATCTTACTAAATTTAGATCACTTTGTATACAGTTGAGTCACAGACATATGACAAATTCAATAACTTTTAATTTAATAATTATTTTATTGTAATTTTTTATTAACAGTTTTTGCATTTTTATACAATGTTAAAAGCATTTTTGTTTATTATATGTCTATCACAAAAAAAATCGGTAGCACAGTGGGGTTGTGGCATAGTTGGGACAAGTATAGATGATATCTGACAGTGATTAAAATCACTATCATAAGAAACATTTCAATGCAAATCTGTAGATAATGTTTAATTTTAAGAAATTGGTGGATTATTCTAAAAGCAAAATAAACTTCTATTTCCTTATTAATATCCTGATTACAAGTTTTATGATATTAGTATAATATATGAATAAATATTTAATAAATTTAAATTTATTACTAAATATATAATAAATTTGTTTGACTCTGATGGCCATTTGTACTTAAAAGATAAATTGTCCGGACAAATTTTTTTTTTACTTATAGTACGTAACATAAGCTTTAATTTAACATATGTTTAAAGGATGCAGTATTTCCATACCATTTTCTAAAATTAAGTTGAAAAAATTGACTGTTGTAAAAAAGTTGCTGTTTTGAATCTACCTCTGTAGGTATGTAAATAACGATGTTGTCAAAAAATTTATATCAAATAAAAGAGAAATACCTTAAATTTCTATATAACAAAAATTATTTTGATTTGTTCATTTTCGAAAAAAGTCATGGCATTTTTAAGACAAAAAAATGTTAAATATGATTTTAATAGTCTAAAAATAGATAAATTATATAAAATATATACCATGAAATGTTAATTGTATTATAAGTTATAAGATTTGTCAATTAGATCTGTTCTACTCTGTATATAAATATATAATATATATTATAACATTTTTGGATATACAAGTCATTTTTAACTCGTTTACCTATTTGAGTATAATTAGTTTTTTTTACATTTTGTTGATTGTAGAATTATGTTATGTTTTTTATTTTTGAATGTTTAATAAAGACATTTTTTAAAGTCAATCCTTGCATCTGTAAGGGTAAAAAATAACTTATTAAAAGTTAATATATAGAGGTAGATTAAGTAAAATAATGAATACAGATTTTTTCAAAAGAAATCACTAATAGCAACACGTCCTTAATAACATAAAAACCTCTTACGGTAAACTCAGTTACTTATTAATCGCATGTGCACACGTCAAGTTTAATTGTCGAAAAATTGAGAAATTCATATTTTGTGTGTTATGATGAATTTTTAAAAATCAAAACTAGGTATTAGTATACTTGAGAAATTGTTATTAATTATTCTCTTAAATATCATAAAAATATTACTTAATACCTAATAATTCATGCGTCAATAGAATTTAATTTCTTTACACTAGTTTTGGTTACTAAGTTTAACTATCATTTTCGCAATCTTATGCCATAGCTGGAAAAAGATGACAAAAATGACAATATTCAAGAAATCTCATATTTTGCTATTATAAGATAAAAATTATAAAAATTTGTAATGTTAGGTTAGATATTGAAATAATTCTCAGGCAAATTTCAATTTTTAAATCCACACACAAAAGTCAGGAAAAGTCATAGGAGCTTAATCTAGCAATTTTACCCCACTTTATCTAAATCTAAAGCTTATGTTAATAGATAATCTTATTAAGAAAATAATTGGCATGGGCGCATTTTAAGAAAAATATTTTGTTTCGAGTCTAATTCAATTTTTATTCTCCCTATAAAGATTTATTTATAAAAGTACAAATAATTTTTATAAAGCTATAACAAAATTTAAGCTTAGACGTAAATTTTCTAAAAATGTGGCTTTAACTCCATTGACTCTTATGAATTTAAGAAGCTAAATTCCCTCTATATTTTATTTTTGAGAAGTTATTTAAACTATAATATATAAACTGAAGGCATTGGCATAATTTTACAATAAATTTAGGGGGCTAAATGGATTTTTCTCTTACTCAAAAATTATTTTAATATAACTATTAAAATAATTTCATATAATTTTGGAGAACTGCAAAAATGTTTAGGAGTACTTAGTTTTTTGTCTAATTATAAGCTTATGACTGGAAATAAACAATCTTGGTAAAAAATGTAATATAATTTTTAATGAAATATTCTTCTATTCTTCGAACGTTCTAAAATATATCTTCATATCACAATAAATATATATTTAGAGCCCTCAATTTTTTCCGTTTATTTAATCGATAGTTATAATTATGATTCTAACGAGAATGTGATTTAATGTATTTATACAATTAATTAATGTTGTATGTTTAAGTATTATAATTAATGTATATAAACATAATATATGGTACATAATAAATTTTAATAAAACTAACACATTTAATGCTTCAGAACTGAAACCTGTTGACCGACGTTAACCACTCAAAAGAGCGGGAAGCACATCATATTATCAATTTTTGTGAGTTGATAACATGAACATTTCTAAGAAATTCCTATATAAATTTTGTTTACAACCCACTTTATAATTATTTGTGTAATTTTCTGTATGTTACAGTAATATAATTACTCAACAATATAATTTAAGTTACTTTTGACTTACTTTTATTGGATTAATTAATAATTGTAAATCATTTTATTTTATGTATAATATTCAATGTTGACTTATGTATACATACAAAGATTTCATATTATAATATAATTTAATTAATTAAATTATAACTCGGCCACACAGTTCCTCAAGATTTCATATTATAGCTAAATAAAACGAATTATTATAAGTAAGTGTCTCTTTAAGTCTTAGTTCTATAATTTATATAATTATTTAAAGTAATGTATACAGTAAAATAATTGCCTTAATATTTGTATGACTTTTTTTTAATTGATGTAGATCATAGGTAACATAATCATTAACTTATGTAAAAGTATACTTATTTAAATTTAAGTACTTTTTTTTATGTATTTATTATCAATAAAACATATGTTAGTGGAATTTAATGAATATATATAAATAATTTTGTTATTGTAAGAAAGTACATATGATTAAAGACACATGTTTATCCAAATACACATATTATCTATATATGGATTTATTATAAATGTGTTTGTGTAACTATTTATTGTATTATTATAGTAAAAATACATTTTTTTTCAAATAAATAAAATATAAAAATAATGAAAAAAAAAAATAATAATAAATTATTGATAATCGTACCAGGTTAATTTTTTCAGTATTTACTTCCTAGCCGTCCATTTTTTAGCTGTAAATATGATGATTAATGATTCACTGTGCTGCAGTATAGTTGCACTGTGAATAAGCCTGTTCTTGATTCTTATACAACAGGAATAATTTCAACAAAATTTTTGGAGTAGCATTCTACTTACATCCTTCCTAATATTTTTTTTATCTTATTTAATAATATATTTAAGGTGATTCTTTAACTATAACTATATTCTTTTTTTTTAGAAGTTAATAGTGTCATATTTATTATAATTTTAAAAAAATCATCCTTCCTATCTTCTTAATAATTATCAACATAAATTTTTTTATTGGACACATATATCATCAGTGGCATATTTATATATTTTCTGCGTGTAGGCAATTAAAAAAATGAAACCCTAGAGAGCTGTGGAAAGCCCCATGACATCAATTTTTTGTGTTATAATTAAAAAATGTATCGCCAAATACGAAATAATGATGGTCAAAATTTGCCGCTGTAAAATATATATGTATAATAATGCTTCTATATATTTATTGTCATTTCAATACCATGTATCTCTAAAATGGGATTTTTTAATGTCTAAAAACACATGATATTGTATTGAAAATAACAATATTATCTTTGATAATGGAGTGTCATATATGTTAAAAACAAAAACAAAAATTAATAGTGAGATATTGCCATTTACAATGCAATATCCATGTGTTTCCACGACATTAACAATTAAATATCATCATAAAAGAGATGTTGCAAAAAAAATTCTATTTTGAAAATAGTTAGTACTGCATTTAAAATAAAAATATGTTTAGCTTGCTTAAAAATAAGAAAATGACAAAAGATTAATAACCATTAATCTAGTATTTTGAAAATTGTTAACACATTAATATAAAGACTGCAGTTAATGTATAGGTCTGTTTATATTTATCTCTAGAGACTTGTGAACTGAATTACTCCTTCTGCCCTGATATAAAAACCTAATAACTTTAATAAAGCTGTTATAAACCGGTTATTTTTTTTATTTTTAAACTGCTTAAACAAATAAGTTGATACATTTTTAAAGAAGAAATAAGAGAGTTAGGAATTATTTTCCAATAGCAACTTCATTAACTTTTGAAAAGAAAAAATTATATTGTAATTCATAATTTTTAAATTTTACATAATTGATAGTTAAAAAATCACTATTGTTTTTATTGAATATTTTTATTTACTAATTAAATAATTAAAAAATTATAAGCAATATTTTAACTATGCTCAAAAGTTTAACCTTAATAAAATTAATTATTTTTATTTTAGGTCATATTTTTCTAGTATAATTTAATTGGAGGAGTCAATATTATCTTTTGTCTTCTCATATAAATAAAATATGTTTGACTATTAAGAAGAATTTTATATGATTTTATTTGTGCTCAATATTAACTATAGTTATATTTATACTTCAATTATTAACATAACTCTTTAATCACTTACAGTTTCAAAAATTCTTTCCTTTTCAATTACTTTATATAAAGTAATAAACCCAATGTTTTGAAATTAATCAAACACTTAAAATTATTTTGCTTTTATCAGATTAATTTTTATAGCTAAAGATCTTTTATTTAAAAAATTTTCTTTATTAGCTTTTCGTAATAAAGAAATTCATGAATTTAATTTAATTATTTGTGAAACTTCTTTGAATTTAATTAATTTATTAAATATATTTTGAATATTATAGATGAATTTTATTTTCAGATTATGTCTTCAGATTCCAAAACATATGAAAAGCCTAAACTGGACTATCAATTTAATTTAAATTGTGTTTTCTGCAATAAAGAATCCGATAATTCAAATGATTTAAAATTATTAAAATGTTTGCATGTTATATGTGAGAAATGCTATGAAAAAAACAAGACTCCGACTGAAAACAGTTCAGATTTTGGTATTGTAAAAAAAAATTTTTATTTGCATAAAATGATTTATTTAATATTAAATTAAAAATATTTATAAATTATGAGTAAGTAATCATTAAGAAAGAATAGTCATTAATGGAATAACTTTCTTTTATTTATGGTTTTTATTGTTTACTAATATAAATAGATTTCCTCGTAATATTTATTTGGGGGACAAAAATTTGAAAAAAGCTAATTTTATTATATAATTATTACTTATAGCTACCACTAATTTTACTGTATAACCAAATTGATCTTTCAATACTAACATCTAAGATACTTTCTGATATACTTTTAATTAATATCCCTAACTTTTCTTATTTTTGAACTAAGACGATTTTATTTAATAAATTAATGCGATAATGATATTAAATTTATTAGTAAATTTTTTAATTTTAAACATGTAATCTTTTTTATAAATAAATAATAATATATAATGTAAATATCATAATTTAATTATTTTGTAGCATATGTATAAGTAAGTGAAATTATCAGTAAAATTTTAGAATTTTAATTTTGAAATATTGATTCAATTTATAGTCTATAAAGAGTATAATTTTTAATATTTTTTAATTGTTGCCATGCCATGTTTATACATTATTCATGTAATATTAATATATAATAAAATAATAATCATTAACTTATTTAGATATACAGTGTAAATGTCTAAAAAAAAGTGCAAATAAAGAATTAGCTGAATATCCTTTTTTGAGTTCATCTAGTTTAAAAATAAATAATGTTTGTCAAATAAATAGTTGCAATAAACAAGCACAATTAAATTGTACCACGTGTAAGCAAATAATTTGTTATGAATGTGTTTCAGTAAGTACTAATATTATAAAGTATGAATGTTAATGAATATATCTCGGTCAAACGTCCAATTTCTCTTTTTTTCAAGTATTTGTTAAATTTAATCTTATTCAGTATCCTTTATCTACAATAATTCAATTAAACTTTAAAAATGTTGGTTTATTTATTATTATAAACCAGTTAATTTTTAAATCATAAGTTAATGGGTGATAATAGATCCCTCCCTCTTTTTTTATTAAGATGTTAATAGGATTCTTAGGGGTTTTTCTTTTAACTTAAAAAACTACTATTATATTTGCATAATTGAGTAATGCAAAAATTTTAAATATTTTATAAGGAAAATAAATCATTTTTCAGAAACACTTCTCTGATCAGTCAATATCTCATTCATTTTCAGTTCTTTCAGAGAATGCATTATTTTGTTCTAATCACACTGGAGTAAGTTGTTTATTATTTTAATTATAACATTTTAAAACTTGTTTATTTCAATATACTTAGTATTTAATTTATTCAATGTAAAAAATAAAATATTATATAAATAAAATTATGATATATTTATACTTTTTAATTAATATATTCTTTGAAATTTCATAGGAAATTATGAATTTATATTGTGAGAATTGTAGTACAATAATTTGTACTGATTGTTTTTCAACAGATCATAATACACATACAACTAAAAAATTGGAAGATGCAACTCGAATAACAAAAACTAACATATCAACAATGTTGATAGATATTGAGTGAGTTAAGTTATCTTCATTATTGAGAGTGTCTGAAATTTTTTAATTAAAAAATGCAATAATATTTATTTTTTTACTTTTTTAATCATATTCTTTCTTTTATAACATTTATGCATGCAAAATAACAGATAGATTGGAATAGAATAATTTACATTTACATGTGTAGTTGAGTGAAGTAGAGAGAAGGGTCTGGTGTGTTATATAATTCCAATGAGACTGAAAGATAAGTTCTATAAGACTATAGTGAGTTCAGCTATAATGTATAATTCAGAGTGTTGGGTGGTTGACAAGAGAATAGAGCAGAGAATAAGTGTTGTAGCAGAGGTGAAAATAGATGAATGTGTAGAGTGACTAGAGAAGGTAGGATAAGTTACGAACATATAAGAGGAAGTATAGGTTTAGCGTCAAATGTAGATAAGATGAGAGAAAATAGACTTAGTTGATTTGGTCATGTTATGAGGAGAGAGGAATCATAAGCTATAAGAACAGTTATGGAAATTAATGTTGAAGAAAGTAGAGGTAGAAGAAGACCAAAAAGGGATGTTATTGAATGTGATATGAGAACAAAACAAATGTGAGTAGATGATGTGGGAGATCGTGTCAAGTGGAAGTGTAGGATAAGGGTGGCCAACCTCAAGTAGTTGAGATAAAGACAAGAAAAGAGTCTTCCTCTACACTTTCTTCCTTCAACATTAATTTCTATAATTTTTCTTACAGCTTCCGATTCTTCTTTCCTCATAATATGACAAAAACATCTAAGTTTATTTTCTCTCATCTTATCCACAATTGACGCTACACCTATTCTCCCTTTTATATGTTTGTTCCTTATCCTATTTTCTCTAATCACTACTTCACTCATTTATCTAAGTATTCTGATCTGTTACACTCATTCTCTCACCATAATACTATTTCTCCATTCTTTTATTATTTTCTCTTCTAAAAGGATTTTATTAAAAAGATCCTTCAACCACCTTATACCATCACTGCGTAATATTTTTCATACTTCTGCTGGCACTTCATCTGGTTCTACTGCATTATTCTTTTTCATTAATACCATAGCCTCCCATACTTGTAAAAAATCATGTCTGTTCTAACCTAATTTTTTGTGAGTGTAAGTCTTATTTTTATACTATTGTAAATGTTACAAAGTGTATTAAAAAGTAAAGAATTAAAATTTTTTAAATTTATTCTAATTTAGTACTATATTAGACACTATAATTGATATGTTTCAAATCAAACATTTTCTTAATAGTAATTTCTTATAATTAAAAAAAAAATTTATAGATCTATTATTATTTTAGGAAGAACATAAAATATATGAAATACTGTCTCAAAGTAATTGAAGATGACTTGCCTAATTTAGACCGAAAGAAAGATGATGTTAAAAGAAAGATAGATGATTTAGTGTCTAAGTAATTAATTTTAAATTTAGTTAATAACTTTAAAATATAATATATGTTGTATGTTATGTGTTTAATTTTAGCATTATTACTGTTGTTAATGACCGTGCTCAGATTTTAAAGACCAATGTGGATGCTTGCTACACAGATAGTGTAAAAAAAGCACAAGAAAATAAACAACGTATTTCAGAATTAATAAATCAGAATATATATTATACAAAGTTTTCAAACTCAATTTTAGACCATAAAAATGTGATAAATATTCTTAAACACCGAAAGTAACTACTTTTAAAGTATTATCAATAAATATATTGTTGTTTATACTGCAATAGCACATATCTCAGTAGGTTTTCATGATGAACATAAAACAAATTTTAACGCCCTAATGTTTATACATTATATTATGATATATTATATTATATTATACATTTATACCTTATGGTGATGTTATTTTGATAATTATCAATAGAATTATGAGACTCGCCAAAAAAAAAATATGCAGAAAAAATAATCAGGAAAACTTTTTATCATTATTGATAAAAATTTTATTTTGTCAAATTTTGAGATACGTTCTGTTGTAGTATGAGTCATAATATTATATATAATTAATTATGTTAATTTTTATTTATGTAGTCTTATTTTAAGCCAACTTCACTCCATTAAACAAATAGATATTATTCCTGAAGTATCAGATTTGAATTCAAAAATTGTATTTCAGTATGAAAATCATTTACAAAATGTTATAGCAGGTAGATGTTTTATATTCGCTTAATGTTTTACTGATATTTCTCTGATTTTAAGACATTTGAGCCTTAATGTAAAAATAAAAAATATTTAAATTACAATAATAATTTTGAAATTATTTGTAGATATAAAAAAAATTGGATTTATTACAACAAATGCAAAAGATACTATTGTGATTCAAGAAAAATTGAAACAAGTAAATATTTCAATAAAATTAATTGAAATATAGATTAAAAAAAATTTGAAAGTTTTATTTAAATCAATTTTAATATTCAGAGTAGTTCTTTTATCATGAGACACTTATTTAATTGAAAAATAAAAATAAGATTGATTTTTTTTAGCTACATACTTTTCTAAATTTATTTATCATAAAATAATTTTTATATTTATCCCTTATACTTTATAAGAGTGTCAATTTAATTTTTAAGTGCCAAAATATATAGCTAAATAGTTTATTTATCAACTAATGATCTAATTACAAAAATTACTGGTCAAAAATAACTTTTGAATCCGTATTTCAGAAGTTATTAACAATTTAAAGTAATGACTAAAGGTGAGGTATTGTTGCTACTATTTTTAACACTAGAAATTTTTTCGGCCTACTCTTTCCTCCTTTTTGGTAAAAAAATGTTAATTAATTTTGAAAAATTGGATCAAAAGTTATTTTCTTTCTGCCATTTCCTTAATTAGATCATTATCTAGTAAAAAGTTAATTGATGTTGTATGTTATCATTTGAAAAAATTTAATTAACACATAAGGTTGTCCTATAATTATCATTTCTTTATAGTTCATTAATTTAAACATCCTCCACCATTTTAATATAAAATAAAATTATAAAAGAATATGTATTTTTAAAAACTAGTGATTTCATTGTAATATTTTACTCTAATTTTAATTGTATTATAGTGATTTGTGTTGCTTTATTAATAAAGTAGTTTATTTTCAATTAATAATTTTATTGTTTTTGTAATTTATTTTTCTGAAGTTTTTATTGTAAAAATTATTTATGAAATAAAAAATTTTTCTTTAAAAATAATTATTTTTTAGTAGTTATTAAGTATTGAATATTTTCTAAAAAAGAAAAAATATTAATTCAATATAATAATTATTTTACAGGCTTTGGAGAATGATATTTCTAGAAAAAATATCAGTATAACTGACAAGACACCTCCTTCTTCTTCATGTCCAATGTTTCCAAAAAGTAAATAAACTACTAATATGAGATCATAATAGTGTAAAAAGTAATTATTAAACCACACAGAAATTTATAAATGGTTTAAGATGGTCTTTTACAATTTATAAAATTATTTTTTGTTTTTAAATTAAATTAAAATTTTTAATTTGCTAAGTATAGGGTAATTTTTTTTATATTATTCACTTAATTTCTTTTAAATGAATAATAAAATTAGTTATTATTTTTTTTAGTTAAATATGAAAAAATGTATTAATAGATGCAATTTTTTTTCTTAAATAAAACAAATTTAAATTGAATAAATTAGCATAAAATATTAAACAAAATATTTCAACCTCAGAGATGTATTTGAACATTTTACATCTAATGTAAAAAAATAAAGCAGCTCCTTTAAAACCCAATATCTCTATCATAGTGAGACTAATATATTTTTTGTTTCTCTAAAAATCTAAAAGCTTAAGAAGTACATTTGCTGATAGATTATAATTTAATAATATTAAAAATTATACATGTTAATGTTACAATAGTTTTAAAAAAAAATTTATATGTACACACCGAACACACATTAAATACACTTTGATATGACTCGATGTTTGGCTTAATAATTTCAAAGTTGAATTAATCTTCTTTACTTATATTTAATCTTTTTAAAAACAAGTTAATATTGAATAATATGATTTTGGTTTTATTTTAGCTGATGACCAAGTTGAAGTACATAACCTTTATTCTAAAACTAATCAAGTAAGATACCTCAAAAATATATAACTTAGCAATAGATCAATTTAATGATAAATTAAAATAACTGGATCTATGAAATTATAAATTATATATCTAAAGAATTATTATTAATCATTATTTTATCAAAGTTAACTATTACAATGAAATGTAAATAAAACAATTATAATATTTCTCTATATAATGTTTTAATTTAAAATAATACATTGATTATTAATGTAAAGTAGATTAATAAACTATATAAAATTGCCTTATTGTTAAAAAATAAATAAAATTATTAGATTGTATTATATCATCATAATTATGATTTAATTATTAACCAAGAGAAATAAATTTACTTTCTATTTTATTTCTTGTAACATGTCATTTTGAATCGTTTTATCTTAGGGTTTTAATATTATTTTTTATAACATTAATGGATTTAATATCAAGTATTACTAGCTAATAATTGTATCATGTGTTAAATTACAGATTTTTCATTCCAAGAACAACAATAATAAAAGTGTTGGTGAATATTCAGGTATTTATAAGCTATAATTAATAACATATACTGATAATTATTAAAATAACAAATTTTATTAAACTTAAGAAATTTATTTAAAAATTAACTATTAAATTTAATTGTATAATATCACCACCTAGATATTAATTTTTAGAAAAATACTCTTATCAGAAACTAGTTATCAGTATAGATACACTTATTTACATTTAGCAGCACAAATTTAAATATTACTTAAAAATTTTTTAAGTTGAAAACATCAGAAAATTGTAGGTTAAACTCATGCAAATACTGACTCACCATATTTAGTAAAAAAAAAAGTTAACTTTTTTTTCTTTTATGTTTAAAAATTGGGGTCCCTGATGATGAAAAATATATTTAAAAAAAACCATTTAAACGTGTTATTTTTATTTTATAAAGTTTTTAACATTTAAAACTTTCTTTAAAAACATTTAAAATTTTTTTTTTGTTTTATTGCTCTATTTTCAATTGATAATGATTGACAACTAAATAATTTACACATTTTACGCTGTGAAAGTTTTGTATATATTTTAGCTTCGATGCGAAGCTGAGAAGGTATTGGTTTTACTATGATGTGTTTTTTTTTTTTGTGTCTGTTACCACTTTTTCTCTTACTGAACCGTTTTCTATCAATGATACGTCATAAGATCACAAATTGTATCTAATTGAAGACATTACCCTCAAAAATCAAAAAAAATTCCCTCGTTCCCCGTAAATGGGGGAAATCTCCAAAATAATTACAAATTTTAAAATGGCTAATTTTCAACATTTTTTTACTTAAAATTACCATAACTTTTTTAAAAATGACCGAATCAATATAATTTTTTTTATAGATACCTTAGGTATATTTAAAAAATTTTTATAGATGCATGATGTCTATACCTATCATTTGGTAATTTTTTTTATAAATCTGACCCTTTCTGATCCTAAATCTGCCCACAGGGGGGATTTAAAATGACAACTTTTCCACAAAAATTCACTTTTTCTACTTAACTTTTGATAATGTTCCCGAAAATCTAACACTTTTATATATATCTTAAATTAAAGCTAATGTAATATACTTTATTATGGAAAAAAAAATTAGGACTTTATTTTGTTTTCGTGGTGAAAATGGCTACCAAATGCTATTTTTGTGTGAAAATTCTCGATTTTATATTTTACATTTTTTACTTTAAAATGTTATAACTTTTTAAAAAATGTATGGACCAATACAATTCTTTCATGAGAAGTAGTAATTATATACATCTTTCATTCAACATACTTTTTTTTAAATAAAACAATTTCCCTTTATATATTAATTCATATATTACATTTATAAGTGATAAAACTTCCAATGAGAATTTAAATAAGGAAATATGAGATCATGTTGCTTTTGGAATAATCCACCAATTTTTCAAAATTAAACACTATCTACATATTTGCATCGAAGTGTTTTTTATGNATTTTTTAAAATTAAACACTATCTAAAGATTTGCATCGAAGCGTTTTTTTTTGATAGTGATTTTAATCACTGTCAGATATCATTATACTTGATCCAACTATGCCACGTCACCACTGTGCCGCGACCCCCCTGTGCTGGTTTTCTATTTCTGGTTTCATAATTTATGAGTAGGAGATAATGTATGAATTGCTGCTACTTTAGCAAATACTTAAATTTCTGGCAAATAGATAGTAAAAACCGATAGCACAGTAGAGTCGCGGCACAGTGTGAGTGTGGCATTGTTAGGATTAGTATAGATGATATATGACAATGATTAAAATCACTATCATAAGAAACGCTTCGTTGCAAAGCTGTAGATAGTGTTTAATTTTAAGAAATTGGTGGATTATTCAAAAGCAAAATTCTAATTCAAATAGAATTAAGGAAAAATTGCAAAAAAATGATAGCCACGGGCAATGATTTTGTACTAGATAATAAAGTATAATTTTGAATACACCTATGTATTTTGTAGCCTTATTATTATGTTTAAATAAGGAAATATGAAATATGAGTAGCTTTTGGAATAATCCACCAATTTTTCAAAATTAAACACTATCTACATATTTGCATCGAAGTGTTTTTTATGATAATGATTTTAATCACTGTTATATATCATTATACTTGACCCAACTATGTCACTTCTTCACTGTCCACAACCCCACTCTGCTGGGTTTTTTTTTTAAATTAAGTGAAGAATGGTCGTAAAAATTTTTGCTGGTCAATAACCAGTGTTTTAATATTACTTTTAAAGATTTAGAAAAGGTGAACAGCAGGGTAGTATTTACCAACGCTTTAATTTTACCTTAACATATAATTAAGAATTCTTTTATGTTGCGTACTCCGTCTGTCTATTACTAAAAATTATAAAAAAATTTCTAAAAAAATTCTAACACCTAAAATCTACTATTATGTATAGAGATTATATTAAATTTTAAGTCACAGTATTACATGACAATAATTGATTTTTTGAATGTATTTTACACCTAGCGATACACTTTGTAATTAAAACATAGTGAGTATGTATATTTATAATAACACATATTACACAATACTCACTAACAAAAATAAATACTGATATATTAATATGAGCGTAAAAAAAAGCAAGAGGAGAAGATAATTCATTTGATGAAATTATCAATTCAAGTTTTGAAAATAATGATTTAGTTTTATATTTAAGTATATTAAGTGTATAAACTAGTTTTCTAAATGAAAGATGTATGAAAAACATGAATAATAAAATCTCAGCGTGAGATTTACATAATACATAAGACGTGTTTACATATATCTACGTGTATGTATCTAAAAAATTGTTGCCCTTCACTCTGTAGAAAGTTTCTCCGCCTCAATTTTTTTTACATTGTTTTAAAAAAAAGTGTCTAATACGTAATTATTATAATCAATAAAAATAAATATCACCCCTTAAAATTATAGCTGTAAAAAGGTCACTATAATGCTCATGTGTAAATTCAGCCCTACTTATTTATTTTTTTGTTATGTGACAAGAGATAAAAATAAGTGATATCGAAGGTCCTTTTAACAGAAAAGATAAAATATAAAAAGTGATGCTAATTTTGAACTTAACTCAAAAGACATAAATTGATATATGATAGTAAAGACTAACTAAATAAGAAAATCAAATCCACTAAGTTCCCTTGAATGGGGGATCAAAAAAACTAATTCCGAATTTAAACTTGACGACTTCAAAATCATAAGGTACAACTTTATTTATAATTTAAATTTAAAATTTTAATCTATATTAATTTTAGGGTGCTAAAGTTGATTTCATAATGTCATAACGTTAAATAGTCTAATGAAAATCACCAGGAATGGTCTGAACACTTCTCATTATCCTTATAAATAGTTAATTGTAAAATTTATTTTATTGCGCGGGTATCTTATGTACTAGGTTATATTTGATTCCATTTTCCAGTATTAAAACCAGGTAATCAATCTCAGAGTAACAATAATAATAAAACACTTTTCGAAAATTGAGGCGATGTTTCGTTTAATATAGAGTTGAAACCATTTTTTCCAAAAAAAAAAAAAAATGGGAAAAAAAATTTGTTTCTTGCACCAATGTCCCCTTAAAGACACGGAATATAGTATATTTTACACGACAACGACGTTCAATTTCAATTATCTTATATATAGTTAATAAACATACCCGTATGTTACCAATAAGATACCCGTACAGGAATAATAGAACTCTACCATTACATTTCCAGATCTCCCATTGCTATTTGATAGTTTATTAACACTCATTAATATAATGCAAAATAAGCCTGCATAAATTGTGACGCGTTTAAAATTTGAATGACATTAATTATTTTAAGGTATTATTAGATACAAAAATATGAGAAAATAATTTTAATTGTACACACTTAAATTAATGCAAAAAAATATAATTCAATCTCTTTTTGTTTCTCCTTAGAAATTGTATCAACTTGTAATATTCTCCTCTGGAATATTACAAAATCAATACTTTTTTTATTTCACAGACCACAGAAAAGAATACGCTAACACTATTACGCATATAATTCTGACCTTGGCCACTATAAAGTAGCCATGAATCATTATTATTCTCAGCGTCTTGGAGGCATCACAAAAGCATTAAATAAGGGAAGTTAATAAAAATAACTATCTTGCCTTGATATTCCCCTCTATATAAAGTCTCCTTTTTTAACCTTCACTGCTCCCCCTTTTTTATGTCTTTCTTTTGGTTATTACAAACTTTAATGGAAACATAATGAATGAAAATTATCTAAGAAAATGACTGGTCAATAACAACTCTTAAGCCATTATATTAAAAGATAAGTATTTATACATTATGGCAGTAGGAAAATTGCAGTTCAGGAATGTTTATGGATAAAAATAAAGGGATCCATTCTTAAAATCTTTCCTATTGCCTTTGGTTTTTGAGTTTGAAGTTAAAATTTAAATTTTTTACACTTTTTGGTCATTTGAATCGAACATTTTTTTAATAATCACTTAAAAATAATCTTTGAAACATTTTGAAGAAACAACCAAAAAATTATTAATGATTTTCATTTTATTACAAAACTTTTAAGTGTCGGTAAAAATTAACTTCAGTTGTTCAGTATATATGTATGCTATTATATATTGCTGAAGAAATTATACATCATAAATAATAATTATGATTTTACAGATATATCTGATGATAATGCAATGAAAGAATGTGACATATGTTGCAAAAGTTTTGTAGACTCAGAAAAGTTTGTTGAATGCTCAAAATGTCTTAGAATTTATCACCTCAATTGTCATTTGCCGCTACCTTTAGAAAAAGACATACAATGGTACAATTAAACAGTTAATATTATTAATGATGAATTTTCCTTTTTTTTCTTCTACTATCAATATTGATATATTTGTTTATTTGTTAAATAGTTTAACAAACTTGCTCTAGATTACAAAATTATACTTTTTTATATATATTAATCAATATTTTAGTTCTATCTCTAAAAAGTGGACTTGCACTCTTTGTATTGATATTGAACCACTTGCCTCATCTTATATAGATGATGATAGAAACAAAAGTATTTTTAGCAAGATTATAAGGCGTATTTTATTGGAGCTATATTGCCAAAGTGACGATAGTTTACATTTTATGGAATGTCCTAATATTGATGCTGTAAGTAATTTATATCAAAAAACATTTTTAAAATAATTTTAATTCATCATATTTTTCAGAATTCTAGATATTATGATAAAATTAAAAATCCGACATCATTAAACAAAATTAAGGACTGCTTACAGTCAGATATTCCATTGAGCATTATTAATGATATAAAATGTATATTTGAAAATGCAATATCATACTATCATGTATGTAATTAAAATTAGTATTTAAACTTTTTTATGATAGATTAATTTTATATTATTTTTTAGACCTCAGATCCACTATATAACTCTGCCATTAATTTACTTGAATATTTTAATTCTATGACTTCAAAGTGGCTGCCCAATTACCAACATATAAAGCCTAATTAATTTTTAATTATTATTTTACATTAATATGATTTTTATATATGTATACATATTTATGAACACGACCAATATTATAAATAAAATTGTATATTATTTATAAAACTGAATATTAACATTTTTTCAATATTTGTTCATAATTTTTTTATATTAATAGAAAAAATTTTAATTATTTTCATTTAATCGTTTATTCATTTACATCTAATTGCTATTTTTATACATTTTAATTCCTCAAAACAGTTAGTTCTAAAAATTAATGATAACAAATTTTAGTCTACTTAATTTTTAATAATGTTAGTTTTCGATGAAAATATGATTGAACTGTCAGTGGTAATTAATGTGATGAACGTTATTTAAATTTATCTACAACAAAATACAATAATTTCTTAAATTTAAATTTTAGAAAATATTCAATTTTAACATGTAAGCTTGTTAAATATGCATATTGCCCATAAAAAAAAAAATAAATTTTTACCCTTATATGATCATTATGAAATAATAATAACTCATAATTTAAAATTTATGTATAAGTCTTGATTTATGTTATATATATATTTAACAAAATACTGTAAAAAAAAAAAGTTATATTATTTTAGGAAACATCCAGTGATCAACGATAAATCAATCATCTGTATAATTACTGCTTAACCTCGGTATTTGATAAGCAGTATAACTTTAATTTCGATTTAATAATTTATATTCTTATTCTTTTACATAACTTAGAGTGTCCCATTTAAATAAAACAATAAGGCAAACATTAAGTTTTAAATTAATATGTATCAACTTTTATTTATTTCATTAACCATATTTTGGTTTTACATTTTATTATTATTTTGCGATACTTTATGATACCTCGTTCTTCTACTCCATAGTTAAATAACAATACAATTTATTGTTTCTAATATGTATAAATTACGTCAATATTTAACCAATAAACTGTCAATGGTTTTGTGAAGCATTTTGTAACCTTCTCTTTATCAATGGAAAAAGTTAAGTTAAATTGTCCGGATCAATGATTTGGAAAAATGAGGTGGCTATTTATTAGTTTTTTTCTACCTTATAAAACAAACACCCATGAAAAATATTTCAATATTACATTATACTTTGGTAAGTGCACATTATAGATAGTTCGTTCAGAATACAATAAGGAAACGTGGTAAGTAGATTCATATTTACAGCTATATCAACTTAAACAATTATTTTATTTTGAAGTTTTGACGTTGTTTGCAGTTTCAATTAGTAGATGTCAATACTACAATTAAAAAAATATATTCAAACAAAATAGATATAATGAAATTTTTTATTAGATTGTCTATGCTCTGCTTGTTAGCTGTAATATTTTTTGTAGGATTTCAATCGCATATAATAAATCAATGTGCTAGGGCCGTTTTGAAATTATTCATCATGCAGGTAAAACACGCAGTTTTTCGAATTATTATTAGTTTCTATTTTAAATTTAGACCAAATAAGAAGAATGTCTAAATAATATTGTTTTAATATAATAATGTAATAAAGTTATGATTTAAAATACTATAGTATAAGTTTTGAAATTAAAATGCCTTGACTGTTATAAAAAATTTTTTTATTGGTAAATTAAGACTGAAAATAGACCAGTTTATAAGATATAATACCTGAAAATTTTATGGTTTTTGAATTTCAGTAGTGAACAAGACAGAATATTTTTTATTATAACATTAAAATGAAAATTTTTGCTTAAACATAACGTATGAAATATCAGTAAACGTACCATTCCATTAGGAAAAATATATTTTTTTATAAGTATACCCATTAAAATATTAATGTTATCTTTCAAGTTTGTTTTAATAATTCAATATATAGAGAGAGAAGCTACTTGTACCATACCTATACTAATGAAAATATATCCTAAATATATAAGGTGCTCAGTAAGTAAGGAAACGGGTCAGTTGTTACAAACAATGAGAACAATAGAAATCCATTTCTTTATTTACTGAACCCTATATATTTGAACTTAAAAATAGCAAAACAAATAAAAAACATGGACATCACAATTTCTGTAAAATTATTATACAAATTGAAGGGTCATTCAATTTTTTGTAAATTTTGCTTCTCCTCAACTTGACACTTAATGTTGAAAAAATGTTTCACTGTAGTGTCAAATTTTATTGATATTCCCTAATATAGTTAATTTTTATTTCATCACATTATTTTTTCAAAATTATTATCACCATTAAAATTGTAATTGACTTTTGTATTATTTAAGTTAACTATTATATTTTATGTAATGAGACATAAAATTTATATTATAGTAATAATTTTTCTTATTGAACTAATACTTTTTTCTTTATAATAAAGCGATTTTATGAAGGGCTCATAAATAAAGGTTATAAAAATGTATTGTTGTCTATCTTTGCGTGAATATATAAAAAAATATTATTATTAAAAAATATTTATCATTAATTTGTATTTTTTATAATTTTTAAAAGCGATATTCACAAAAATTATGTCTTGCACAAAATAAATAGATGTTGAAAAGAGATAACATAAGGCATTCCACAACAAGCTTACTTCAAACGCTGTTTGTGTCAAAAAAAAAAAATTCTATTAAGCAAATAAAGGCGTATTTGGAAATTTTGTATGGGTTCCAGATAGATTTAAAACGTTAAGTAGTGGGGAGCTACAATTCTCCATTACTATGATTTAATGTCCATAGTACGGATCTCATAGATTTTCCCTGCAAATATGTCACTGAGTAAACAAATTTAATTAATAAATAATACTAGTAAAAATTATTTATTGAAGAGTCATTCGATTTTTTGTAAATTTTTCCCCTTCTCTTTTATTTATTTTTAAAATTAATTTAATTAGTTAAGTTTATATATATTTTTTAGCTAATTGACTTAAACTATTACAAAAACTTGCTTCGTGATTCATGTTTGATATATATAAAGATCCAAAATCCGAAACTTGTATTATCTGACTGTTATGTAAGTATAGCTATAGTTTATTTAAGCAAGTTTTAAATTATAATGTACAATCGTTATCTAATTATTGTTTGGAACTTGTAACTAAAGATGTTTTAGAATTACACCTTTGAACAAACATTTCAACAAATAGTTTATTTTTTATCAAACAACCAAAAATAAATGTTGACAATTTTAATATTGAAAAGAATTTTGATTGTTTCATTTTACTAGCCCAGTTACTCGATACCTCCCAATGGAATGTAATGATATTAGTCAAAATTTTAACTCTAGCACTCCATTTAAAATTCCATTACACCAATGTAGTTATCCAATGAAAACGTAGAAATAATTTATATTTAGTATAAAATATGTTCAAAAAGTACAAGGGCTCCTAAAAACATCTGCAATATCATATATTTTAAGTTAAACATTCATGTATTATTTTTATAACTAGGCCCTTTATAATGAGAAATATGTTATCGTTATACGTGGTCGCTAAACAAATTTATGGAAGGACATCTAGGTAATATCACTCGACCTATTGGAAAGGGTTCTCTTTGTTTATCTCATACTCTTACTAAATCGTATACTGTTAATAGTTTTTATTGGTTAAAAGCAGTGCTCGAATTGGGGGGGTGCGCAGGGGGACGTAGCTCCTCTACTTTTTTTAAAATTTTTTTGCGCACCCCAACTACTTTTTTTTATTGTGACGGCAGGACGGTGGAAAATACCACCTCTTTTTTTATTTTTTTAAATATTAGTATGATAATGAAATATGATTTATTAATAAATACTAAATAAAGTAATGAGTAAAAAAAAAAAAAGGGTCTTCAAAATGCTAGGGACGCAGTTTTCAAATTGTTAAGTTGAGCTCCCCTACTTCTTTTTGGCCAATTCGAGCACTGGTTAAAAGGGTAGTTATAGCTCTTTTAGTACCCCTTGTTTACGTCATTGATACAAGTGTAAAAAGTCTAACTGACAACTCTTATAACTTTTGATACAATTAATAATTCGTTGTATTTTTTTTTTAATCATTTATCCATTCATAGACTACATTACGATCATATTTTTTATTATTAGTTTTTAATATAAATAATTTTTTTCAATTTTAATTTGTAGTTTTAAGAAATGTTCTTACAAAAATAATTAATGATTCGGGATTAATGGGAATACCTTTTAATGTATTCTAAGAATGCATTATATTTTTAAAAAAAATACAATTTTATAACTTTTGATTGTATCAAAAGTTATCGGTTAGATCTTTTCCTCTTTGCAAATATATTGTTATAATTATGTAATAATTTATTATATAGCTTTAATAATAATGTAAACAGTTTAGGGACACTTTCATTCCTCAATATATGCCAATGATTGTAATATTTTTTTAATTTAGTTTAAACTTTTTTAGAGTTGTGAAAGTATAGACTATGTAAACGTTATCGAAAATTATTTGTTAGCTTTGGATTCATATAGAGATCTTGAGTGGCCTGTGATGTTTACCAACAGCTATGACACACAAACGAACGTGCATAATGTAACTCATGTGAGATTTTATTTCTAACACTTAATCTTATCATATCAGTTAAACAATTTTGACATTAGATAAATGTTATAATAATTTTGCTAGTAATTAATGACGGATTTACGGGTGTCTAGGGATTTGAAAAAAAGGATATATTTGTTTAGTTACTGATATAAATATTTTATATATTTATATATGTATAGATTCACGATTTTTTGATAAGTCTAATAACTTTTAATGTACGAAAGATTTTGCATTCTTTATTTTTAATAATTGGTGCATTCTTATAATACGTTAAAATCATATTTTTTATTATTTATTTTTAATTATAAAAAAAATTATTTAACATTTTTTTTATATAATTTCTTTTTTTAACATTTTAAAATATTCGTTTTTTAGAACTTTTCTTGCAAAAATAATATTTAGTTGAACAAAAGTTATTAGATTTATTTAAATACCATAAAACACTATGTATAAGATCAATCTCAAATGTTTATTTAAATATCTCTATTTCAAATTATATTTTAAAAAGCCCTTCAGTAAACTATGAAAAATCCGTCACTGCTACTATTTATAGCTTTGATGCTAAGCTGAGAAGTTATTAATTTTACTATGATGTTTGTTTTTTGTCTGTGAACGCTTAATCTCAGCTCTCTTTGGACCGATTTTGATGAACAATTCCTCAAAAGATCACAAATCGTATTTAGTCGAAAACATTACCCTCAAAAATTGAAAAAAATTCCCTAGTTCCCCGTAAACGGAGGAAATCCTCCAAAAAATTACAAATTTAAAAATCGCTAATTTTTTCAATTTTGTTTACTTAAAACTGCGATAACTTTTTTAAAAATGACCGAATCAATATAATTTTTTTTATAGATATCTTAGGTATTTACCTATCATTTGATATATTTTTGTGAACATTTGACCTTTTACCAGCCCACAGAATTGGATTCAAAATGGCAACTTTTTAACAAAAAATTAACTTTTGAAAATGTTTCAAAAAGACTGACACTTTTATATATACCTTAAACTAAAGCTAAATATACTTTAATTTGAAAAAACCTCTGGATTTGTCTTCATGGTGAAAACGGACATGAAAGTTAAAGAAAAACGTACGATTTCCGTGAAAAAATTCTCGATTTTATAAAAAAATATATATTTTTTTCCTTTATTAATATATACACAATCTGTTCCCTATAGGTACAATCAGAGTATTAGCTAAAATAATTATAACATTGAATACTTGATAAAAGAAGCCACCCATTGATGACACTTTTAAGTGATTATTTTTTATTTTTTAACTAAAGTTAAGTTAATAGATCTCTACACCAGTTGCGCTTTAAGCGTCTTGGAGGATTGCCAGGAATAACATTAGTTGAAAGACCTTTTATTAGTGGATTGGAGTGGGAGGATAGTCGAGTGTGGAATCTTTTATAATAAGTTATTGCTTCTTCTTTAACAGTTTTAATTTTTAGATCAGAATGGAGGGTATAATTTGATACGTATAGAGGGGAGTTAGTTAATTTTCTTAAAGAAATATTTTGAAATGCTTGAATACGATTTATATTATATTTTTTAGAATTTCCCATAGTTGTAGACCATAGGTCCAAATGGGTTTAATAAGGGATTTATACACTAGAAGTTTCATATTTAAGTTAGTATGTTTGTTATTAATTAGTAAAGTTCTAAGCATACGGATTCTAAGGTTTAATTGGAGTCTTTTTGTACGACTATGATGGGCTCAGGTAAGTCGGCAATCTAGGGTTAAACCAAGATATTTTACAGACGAGGAAGATGGAATTTGAATACCATAAAGAGTAACACTTGGACACTGTCCAAGCTTAAGAGTAAAAGTTGTGTGAATTGATTTTGCTTGATTGACCTTAAACCTCCAATTCTTATACCATATTTCCATTAACAAAAGGTGATTTTGTAAGTTAAACGATGCAATAATAAGATCTGCATTGGTTGATAAAATTACTTTATCGTCTGCATAGTCTGCCACTAATGTGTTAGTCGTGGTTGGTTGATCTGAAGTGTATATGTTATACAGTAATGGGGAAAGGATATTTTTAAATTTATATTGCTATAACTTGGAAATATGTATGGATCAATATTATTATTTTTTTATAAATAATTGTTATACACCTCTTTCATCCGACACACTTTTTTTAAAATAGGATCATATCCCTTTATACAAAAGGGTCAAAACTTTAAATATGCGTATTGAAACTAGGACATTTACAATTTAATTTTTGAAAGTGTTCCGGAAATACTGACACTTTTATATATATCTTAAATTAAAGCTAATGTTAAAGCTAATTTTATGTTCTTAATTATTTTTTTTTTTTATATGTAAATACTTATTTTTTAATAATACGTAATAATATTAAAACTTAGAAGGGATAGAAAAAGTCTAATTGCACATTTAAAACATCACGAAAAGTAGATTTAGAAAAGTATATTTTTGTTTCTGATGAAAGTTCATTATGGTCCAGTGTACAAAACTTATAACTTTGTTAAAAGTAAAAAACATTTTTTATTGAAAAGTATTGCATCATCAACCCCTTTAAATTTTTATACGTGTTAAAAATAAACAACTACTTTATTATTTTTATAACATCTCCGTAAAAGTTACAACATTAAATTATTGAATATCAATTTCATACTAAATTTTAATTACTATAATCGGGATAAAATTAAGGGAATAAGAGTTATTGTTGCTTTTGAAATAATCTACCGATTTCTTAAAATTAAACACTATCTGCAGATTTGCATCGAAGCGTTTCTTATGATAGTGATTTTAATCACTGCCTGATATCATCTATACTTGTCCCAACTATGCCACCATCCATACTGTGACGCGACTCCACTGTGCTACCATTTTTTTTTTAATATAAATCATAACATAAACTTAATGATATTAAACTATATTTACAGAACTTATTTTATAATGATTTACTACCTTGTAATTTTGAATCTAATCTGAAGATTGATCCAATTAAAGCAATTGAATCTAAAATCAACGGATGGTTTATGCATTGGTGAGTAATTTTTATAATTTTATAAGCGTTGTTACACATTGATCAATGTCCTAATGCTTCAAAATTAAATTAAGAGTAGTTATTAGTTTAAAATAAATTATATCTTAATATTCTACAAATATTTATTCAAAAAAATAATGATAATTGATAGAATTTTATAATTACGTTAAGGAGAAATTGTGACGATACAACAGGAAGAGATATACGATCTTTATATAAATTAGATTTATTTTTAAACCCCTCTATAGAAACTTGGTCCATAATGGCGTCTAATTACAATACCATCAATTACAAAAAAGTATAATATACATTTCCTTAGAAAAAATTCTTATAAAAACGTTATCATTTTGTTTTTTTAAGATCGATCTTTATTATGATAGCCAAGTAATCATTGCACAAATAAGTGGGTCATTTAAGTATAAATTAGTACCCAAAGATCCATGTACAGATACATGTATGGTGTTGAAAGGCCGATTGATTAAAAACGATATACGTAAGTATTTGATTTGTAATGTAATAAAACAATATTTTGTTTTAATAGTAACACATTAAAATGTTTTATAGTAATGTTTAACAGTTTTCTCTGGGAATTCCATTATCTACCGCTAAACAATTTTGCAGAGAGTATAGCGTTTATTTATCACTTAGAATAATTATTTTTAAAGTATTAATATATAGTTATAATGATTGAAAATTATGTATTGTATATTTGTTTTAATATACAGTAAAACTAACTCAGATTTATTTAATTGCATTACAAAATAATACATTTGCCTATTATTTGTCAAAATCATATATATATAATAATTTAACCAAATAAAATAAATTAAGTTTTATATTATATAAATCGAATATTATCATGGACGTAAATAAAAGAAGTCAAACCTTTCATTACGAAAATTTTTTTATAAGTAATAAAATTATATAAAAATTATTAAATGGGTATTATAAGGGTTCGGCCTGGCCTAGTGAGTAGAAACCTATGTATCAGTGCACGAGGTCCTGGGTTCGACTCCTAAGGTGCCAACGATATTTTTCTTGTGATTTTATCATTGGTGGTGTCTAGTCTCTAGTTCAAGCAGGCCATAATACCCATACCGTTCATCATAGGCCTAGCCAAGAACCATTTTGGCTCCCTAACATTTGAAAGAGAAACACCACCCTTTGTAGCATGTTAAATTCAGGAAATAGAAGGATGTAAAACTGATCATTATTTAATGAGGTAGATATTATGTATACAAAACCTCTATGAATACTTACGCCCCTAAAAATTATACTACAAATAATAAAAATTATTATCAAAGAAAATTATTTTAGTGTAAATAAAATTATTTAAATTGAAATATTTATATATCTAATAGCAAATGTATTTTTAATCTAAGTTAATTTTTTTAAATATGTATCTTATCATTTAACCTTTTGAGTCACGCATTATTTTTTTTTTTTTTAATCAACTTTTTTTTATTAAAATATTAAAATAAAGTTATTTATATTACAAAATAAATAATAAAAAAATTTTTTATTATTATAGATTTTAAAAAAGTGGTGGTTTTACCATTAATCCACCATGCAGGTTCTGCATAACAACATATTATTAAAAATTATTATAAAATATTTGAAAGTTATTATAATATTATTATTTATTGTGATACATTTTGAAACAATTTTTGTGTGGAGTTCAATATAAACTAACATTGCATGAGGTATATTCACGTTTTGTCTTATGTGGATTTAGCCTTAGTGTTGCAATTGTTGCATCTCCTTGATGACAATTACTGTGACATGTGACCTGCACTGGAATAACGTTGTTCTTATGGAATGTTCGGTTTAAATTTATTTATTAATTAGTCTGATGTCTTTCTTCCTTTTGAAGTTGTAATTGGTGTTCCTATTAGCCCTGCGACAAAAGAAAATCTATATTCCTTTAAAGTCAAACTTTTACCTTGATTATTGTCCCTAAATAAAATGAACGAATTGACCACTAAAACATCCAAAAAGTAAAAACATTTCTATGCCACCATTTATGGCTCTTCCTGTCAATTTCAAAATATTATTTCAACATATTTCCATAGTCCACATAACCCATATTAGTATTATAGTCCTTAACAGCCTGAGGTCATTGAATTCTATTAGTTGATCCATCTTTATTTTTTCTTGTACACAATGTGATATGATCAGAATTATGAAAGTTTGATAAAAATTGAAATAAGAATAGTGAATTAAAATCACTATCATAAGAAACGCTTCGATGCAAATCTGTGAATAGTGTTTAATTTTAAAAAATTGGTGGATTATTCCAAAAGCTACATGATCTGGTGGTTCCTTATTAATATCCTGATTAAAATAAAGTATGNTCCAAAAGCTACATGATCTGCTATTTCCTTATTAATATCCTGATTAAGATAAAGTATATCGAATGAAAAAGGAATATAAATATTATTTCTTATAAAAAATTTATATTGATCCATAAACTTTTCAATATGTTATAGCATTATAAAGTTAAAAATGTAAAATATAAAATCGAGAATTTTCACACAAAAATAGCATTTGGTAACTATTTTCACTGTGAAGACAAAATAAAGTCCGAAATTTTTTTTTCCATTATAAAGTATATTGCATTACCTTTAATTTAAGATATATATACTTTCCGGAACATTTTTAAAAGTTAAGTATAAAAGTAAATTTTTTGTGAAAAAGTTGTCATTTTGAATACCCCCTGTAATCAGGTAAAGGGTCAGATTTATAAAAAAATATACCAAATGATAGGTAAAGACATCATGCATCTATAAAAAAAAATTATATTAGTTTGTTCATTTTTAAGAAAGTTATGGTAATTTTAAGTAAAAATTTGAAAAATATATATATATGTATAACTTGATTCACAAATCATGCATGTATCTGTGTAGTTAAGTCAAATCTAGATAATGAACTAAATTTAGTGGCATGTAGATTTTTTAAGTAGTAACATCTTGCTATAGTTATTTTATATAAAACTCATGTTGAATAAACAAACAGAAATGTTTTCCCTTGTATAATTAATAGATATTTTGATTAATACTCTGCAAACAAATATAAAATATTTATTATAAAGAAAGAAAAGATAGAAGAAGAATAATATGTCATGAATCCTTCACTCCGTGACCTAAATCGTGATTAGAATAACAATCGACATTACAATAGCTTATTCTTCACACGTATACATACATGTTTTCATTTGCTTTCTTTCATTATTATATTTATTATACATCGATTATAATAACACATTTAATACCGTATAGGTTTTTTACTATTGTTTTAACAATAAATACCCGTGTTTGTATATGTTAAGTACAATTGACAGCATCACTCCATCTACTAACAACACACTCTCTATTATAAATCATTATTCATACTATGTACCTTATTATATGACATAGGCTAGGTGCATAAATAGATATGAAATTCAATGAGCCTATTTAAAACAATTACAACCGTTTTGTCCGTTAAAAGGTTTGTCATGTTAAGCTGTTTAATTATACCTGACGACAAACAATTTACATTTTTCGCTTCAGCATTAACTAATTAAGTACCTTATGAATATTTTTCTAGACAAATAGTCTTTTTTAATGGACGAAAACAATGTTAACTCATTAAAGTCCAATATAAAATTAATTTTAAGAGCTGAATTTAAAATTTGAGATAGTTTACAAAATTATTATTTCTTCTTAATAGATGTTTGACAACAATACTTGGTATATATTTTTGCTCCTAAACTAAACCAGGGCTTTCCCAAATAACCGTATTTCTAAGGTGATTCTTTTAGTGCTATCCCCTTGATCTTTCTTAATATTATAAGTAAATTCTTTTGGTAATTTAAACTTTTTATACTTCTCGATTAATTAATTATCGTGTATTTTTTTATTTTATCCCTTGTATTGGTATAGGGGATGAATTAAAAAAATTAAATTGACATCCTTATAAGATTTTATATGAATGTTAATGATATTTTTTTAATAGCAACATAGATGTTTAACATGAAGCAAATTATAATTATTAATTAAGTTTTTAATTAGCGTGCAATAAAATTAATGAACATTTTCGACATGTTATTATACAAATTAAATATACAGGATGATTTTTGTCATAACCCACTCAATTACTTGCAGAATATATATAATTTTAACTTTTTTTTTTTCTGGTTTTCTTTAGTTACACATTTTTGAATTATTAACTATTTGAAACGTTTTATGTTCATCCCTTATGTCTTGTAAGGATGTCAACTTTGTTTTTTTTAATGGGAACACATATTTTTAATTTAATAAAATGTTTGGATTTCTAATTCAATAGTAAATGGCATTTGAATTTTTAGTATAACTTTATTAGTTTATTAGATATTAACACTTAAAGTTTCAAATTTTTGAGTTAATATGCATGTATAATATACAAGGGTTTACAAATACAGGTAGCTAGTTGATTTTATATGATATCGATATTAGCAGGTACACAGCATAGTTATTATCAATGATAGTAAGGCACATTGTTGTGTATTTATAAATACACTACTGACAATACAGAAAGTATATCTATTGATAGTCATAATTGATAATAAACGATCCAATTAGCTATCTATATTTATAATCCCATGTGTATTATATATGTATATTAACTCAAAAATTTTAAACTTTAAATGTTTATATCTAATAAACTAATAAAGTTATACTAATAATTCAAATGTCATTTACTATTGAATTAAAAATCCAAACATTTTATTAAATTAAAAATATGTGTTCCCATTTAAAAAAACAAAGTTGACACCCTTATAAGGGATGAACATAAAAAGTTTTAAATAGTTAATAATTCAAGAATAATGTGTAACTAAAGAAAACCAAAAAAAAAATGTTTAAATTATATTTATTCTGCAAGTAATTGAGTGGGTTATGATAAAAAAATCACTCTGTATATGATTCATCATATATATTTAATATTATATTATATGATGCATAAAATAAAAAATAGTTACTTATATTTTTACTTTTAAAAATTAATTTTTTAATCATACATTCGGTTGTACTAATTGTATTTGATATGATAATAATTAAAATATTATACGTCACAATGCTACTCGCTATTTAACACAGGAGTTTAATTAATAGTACGTTTTGATATTATATCAATTGTCTTATACTATTGTGTTAACAAATTGTTTTTGTTTTGAAACGTAAATTAATGTTGCAATGTTTTACTTTCTTCTCGATGTGATTACTATTGATTATTACTTTCGTTATTTTGTTTGTATATATTTATAGGAAGAAGTATCTAAAACGATACAAAAACTATAGTAGGTCAAGTTCAAGGCCGAATATTTCATTCCGGTACTTATAAAATAACTTGGTTCCATATGCTCACTACTTTTTTATTTATTTAAGTTAATAAGATTATTTTAACTTAAATTTAGTATATCATTAAATTCTAAAATTTTTATATTATTTATAACATATCAATAATAATGTATCCTCTATTTTAAGAAAATCATATTGACAATTAAATAATTTTTGGCAAGTCATTTAAAAATTAAAAAAAAAAAGATTTCTGTTGTTGAGATTGACTCTTCTTGTAACAAGCCACACATTCATATTCAAATAGAGGATTCAATTTAATGAATATATAATATTGGATTTCAGTTTTTCTTTTTAGATTTCGTTTATAGTATATATGTTGCGTTTCACTTAATTGACAAAATAGCGATTGCAAATTTTATATTTTTTAATAAATTTCAAATATTTGTCAGTTTGAAAGACAACAACATCACATAGTAAATTTTTCTTAACAAAACGTTTTATTTTAGATTTAATTTTGTAGCAATATTTAAGATGTTATTATATATTAAAAATAATTAGTTAATAACTTTTTTGTAAAACACATGAAAAATAATTATAATTACATGTTTTAACCTAATTATTTATATATTAGTCATATGATGTCAGTAGTTTTTAAGTCAACTGTTAATGCATGTTTTTGTTATATTCTTTAACTTAATAAAGTTTAAGAATATAGCGAAAACATGCATTTTCTCAATTATCCATATCAATAGCTCAAATATTTTTTTGATAACTATAAACTTGACGTTGAACACGAGGCGCTCTTGACTAATGATACCTAGTCTTAGACAGATATATTATTACGGTTATACTAAGTCCAAAGCAGGTGAGATGTCCGGCATGCGTATTATCATTAGGAGTGGGACAACATACACCTCTCCGGAAAGTAACGTCTGCTTAGAGTCTTCCAACGTGTTTTAATTCAGTTCAAGTCGTGACTGGGTCAGCACTACAACCGAGTACTGTGTACTTATTAGTACACGGTATACAGCATACGAATCGTTTACTTACTTTAGTAAAAGTTTACTCATTGAAATTTAAACATTTTGCCAAAATTATCTTTTTAGTAATGTTAACAAAGAAATTCATTACAGCGATGGTAAGGACTACATGAGCTCGCCTACAAAAAATGTGAAGTCATTGTAAAAGGTGAGTGTGTACGCTAAAATTGACCTTTATTAAAAACAATAGATCATATAAATTTTATCTAAAAAATCCCTGTTAATAGACTTATTTAAAAATAATTTTAAAATAGACCTGTTTAAAATGACAGTATTATAGTATTGATATTAGGCATTTCAACTCACAGGTGTGCGCATGAGGCCCGTAAAGAGTGCTTTTGCTACCCCGACTGGTCTGCTAATATCAAATTTAAATTTTGATGCTACCTTAATAAATCCCCTAACAATATTGGACTAAAAAGTGATCAGACTTAAAAAGATTGAATTTCGTACAACTTTTCAAAAACCTCATAATAATCACGAGGTTTTATTTAATGTATACTATAATTATTATGATCTTTATTTATTGTTAATATTTGTCAAGTAAAATATTAAATGTAAGATAAGGCAAAATCTACTACCAACAACTCTACCTATAAGTAGGAAAGGGAAATATTTACTCCTGAAATATTCATGGACAATTAATTAAAGCTCTATGGGTCTTTTATTTAATTTTTTGTTAAATAGGCTTATATGTAGGTCTTTGCTGCTCTGAATCCAAAAGTTTGCGTGAGCCTATGTTTCAACTACAAAAACTATTAATTCCAATATTCACTTATGGTGTACACTAATTTTTCTTTTGACGGAAATAATGATTGATTGCTGGAGAATGGATTTAAAAATAAATAAAATTATGAGTCACTAAATTTTTTCACAAAAATTTTCTGACAATATTCCTGAATTTCCCTAGAATTAAGTAAATGTTATTAATCTATTTGATTGTATTTAATTAATATTTTATCCTCAAAATTTTTTAGTTAATATTTATTATTATTTTTTTTTTTAAATGACTGACTTCATGAATTTTTTTATTGCGAATACATTTTTTAAGTAAAGTATTAAATTTTTGTGAATGGAATCAAAATATACATGTACTGACATATAATTTTATAGAAATGTGTATCATCTATTGTATAAATTTGACATTGTACTGTAATTTGTAAAAGAAATATAACTGTCATTCGCACGTGTTTGACTATATTTTTTTACCAACTCTCATTATAAGTATACATAGAAAAATGATATTGTTGTCTTTAATACAATTATTCTTAAATTTAATAAGAAATTTTGAGTTCACCAAGTATAAATTATATCGGAAGAATCTGAAAGTTATAGACTTATCATCATTTAAGATAATGAATGTCCTAGAAACTGAATAAAACCATATTTTACTTATTTTTAAGTATTTTAATTATAAAATAACTTTATATAAAAACTCGAATATTTTTTTCAATTTTGTAATCTTTTCTTAGCTCTCCCCTACATCCTGTCTCATTTTTTTTCTTTGCAGTATAGCAAAAGAATAGATATTCAAAAAAATAATACTTTTTCAGCCGAACTTTTCTATTCGTAGGCATTATTTGTAAATTAGTATTTCTCTATACTACCTAATGGATAATCTTGTCCTGTTCTCAGCATCGCATCAAAACTAATAGTTATTCGTCTCATAATGCTATAAAAATATTAGCAATACTCCTATAGTGTTCTTAAAAAAGATGTATGAGTGATGTGTTACTCATATAAAATTAATCTTGACAAAATTTCTTGTTGTACCTCAACAATACTGACATGAGAAATTTAAGAGAATCGATTAATTGAATATTGTTACCTAATTTTGTTCACTTATAATTTAATATAAAGGTATTTCATTATTAAATCTAATATTTTAAAAAGATATACTGGAAATGTTATTTCTTCATAAAAAATAAAGGAGATAAGTGCCCTCGATGTTAAAATTATTTTGGACAATTCTAACAAAATGCATAACCATTAAAAAAAAAAAGTTNTTCTTCATAAAAAATAAAGGAGATAAGTGCCCTCGATGTTAAAATTATTTTGGACAATTCTAACAAAATGCATAACCATTAAAAAAAAAAGATAACTATTAATAGAAATATTATTACAGTTATGTCTATCAGTATATGTATTTGTATTTATATACTTTATAAGCTTCTCGATTCTTAAAGTAGCAAAAAATGTATTAGCTTCAGTGCTAGCGTAAGAACGACTCTGAGCTTTATGAGGACTTGCATATGGTGGTGACGTTAAATTATGGTTTTATTTTTGGCGGATACATATAAGAAAAAATTGTAATACCCACTCCAAATGTAAAAAACTGTACCTTTACCGTGTATTCATTTTTACTGGGGGGTTCTATCTTATTTCAACCCCCTTCAGGTCTTGGTCTTATTGTGATAGAAATTTGGATCAAAGGAGGCCTTTTTTCTTTACCTGTAGCCCATAATTCTTAAATACGTCTCTACATAAGAATAAATTAAAAATTAAAATATAAGCTGCACTGATCATTGTTATAAAATCTATCTGAATGATTAAGAAGTTAACGCATCTAACAAACGAACTCTAAAAATGTTAAACTATTCTATTGATATTAAGCTATAATAATCTACAAAGCGTATTATGTTATTGTATTTGTAACATTTTGTAAACCACTGAAATAATATTCAAGATTTAAGTAAGAAGGCCAAGGACGATGATAATTCTAGTTACGGCTTCTTCGGGTAGACGTTCTGATGTTCCGTTATGCACGTAATTTCTAAGTTGACAAACCAATTGAAGTCGTTATTACTTATTGAACATAAATTATATATTGTGTATGAGTACGTTCCTATTTACGTGCTGTTTACAATTTAGGAAAGTTTTTAGTACTTAAATCATTGATTGATAAATATAAAAAATGAGCATTAAATAATGTACTTTTTAACAATTGTTTGATAGCATCGTAAAACTTTGAGGATTAAAGAAACGGTTACCCGCGTCCTGAAAAACACAACTTATTCTTTATAATATCCTAAAACCTTAAATAGATATATAGAGTGTTCGGTTTATCATAAACCGATTGAGTTTACTGTCAAAATAAATACAATATTGGAAAAACATTTTGATGTATCAATTAATTATTTTTTTAAATGTACCAGTACTTTGGAAGTTTTCTCATTTTTACACATAAATGAAACATAGAATTCGGGCGGTAAATAATTAGTGTTAAAAATAGCAGCAACCACTCCTCACCTACATTCATTACTTCTAATGTTATTAATGCTATGTAATTGAATGAGTCAACAAAAAAACTTATTGTAAATAAAAAAAATAATATTGACACTCCTTTAACTGTTAAGGGTTGATTCTAAAAAATAATTATATCATATAAAAAAATATATGTAGCATTTTTACACAAAAATTATCATTAAAATAGTTCAAAATAAACAAAAAATAATGATTTTCAAAAATATTAATACTTTATATTTGTTAATATATTTTAGTAATATAATTATATTTTTTCAATGAAGAAGATCCAAAGAATAATTAAATGCTTATTATATAAAAAAAATAATTATTTGTAAGTAATAGCTGTATTTGATAATATAATCATATTTTCTTTATTTTAATTGATTTATAGCCTAATTAAAAAAATAAAATACTACTTATTGTGTATTTTGATTATTATATTCTTTTAGGAACTACTGATTTTGAAAAAATTATTCTGTAAAAAAACAATTTTTCACCTTTACCATGGTATATCGGTTGTTACACGTGACCTGGACGCTGTGCATGATTCTATGTCTTTTCATCGAAGTATTATAATTTAGTTAAAAGTAAAATATCATGTTCATATGTTAATTTTTTTCAGATTACAAAAGGGTCTCAATTAAGAAAACAACGCGAAGTAACATTAGTCAAGTTTTTAAGGTTACTATTTTATCGATTAATTTATGGATTTGCAAATATGTTTGGTATGGGTGAAGCGGCAGAAAATATTGGAGATGGAGTATTGGCACCCCCCGATAGTGATTACCGAGGAGAAGACAATGGAGACGATTATTCCTATGACTATAACAATGATGATTACGACTCGTTCGAATTTTAATTAGCACATTCTTAAGTGTATGGTATTATGTGAGTGGATGATAAAAATGTCTTTTCGTGCTATGTACTAAAACAGGTGTTATTTAAGGTGACTTTAATAACTCTGCTCTCTCAACTGTGGTATATTTAAAAAAAAAGAGAGATCATTGTCCCGAAATGTAAATTTTAGAGGACATATCATAGAGTACACTATTAAAAGAGCAGTTTGTTTAACAAAAAATTTGGTTCATGTGTTAGTATTTACTTGTATATACTTCTGTTAAATTTTACCCCGTTCCTCAATATAACTCTACAATTTAATTAAACATAATTTTCAAATGAGTATAAAAATATAAATTTATTTTTCTATACAAATGTATTAATAAGTTTAACACATGTTGATTCGTTTTTTTAAAATAATAATTTAAAATTTTTTTTTAATAGTTAAATAATTCATTTAATGTGCTTTTTTATTGATTAAAGTTTTTTTCGTCCCAAACAGGATAAAATATGTGTAATAAATGTTCTTTAAATAAATTATTGTATTTAGTTGAGTAGTTAAATTAGATATTTGCAACTAGGCTCAATTCTTTTTCTATAAAAAAAGTGATCGTTTTTACATATATTTGTAAAATATTCACTTCCTAGTTGAAAAAGTATCTTATATATCTTTTTTCTGTTTTAGACTTTAAAAATTTAGCTATAATTTTACAATCGACCAAGTTATAGAATTTAAAAGAATAATAATATATCTAATCAATACTGCTCCTTCTTGATCTACTGATAGTTCCGACTACTATACTGAATTAATATAATATATTAATAAAACATTTCAAATGCCTTTTTAATACCCTTAGCTAAAACAATTTTGTTATTTACAAACATTTCAATTATTTTAGTCTATTAAAATTCATTCTCTTAGCAAAAATAATTTTTTTGTTCCATTAACATTATGTCCCTATAGAGACTGTCGAGTTTGGTTGGAAACTAAAATTTTGTAAATAAATAGATATTAATAGATATTAATATTGTGTATTTATATTCGAAATAATTTATCAAGTATATTTTTTATCTTAAAACGATTGACTATTTAGAGTAGTTACGTGAATATGCCTTTCATATATTTTGTTAATTTAAGTCAAACGTTATAATTTCATACATCTTTGTATTATTTAAAATGTTTTATGATAAAATTATTTTATCTTGTTTGTTGTAATGCCATTGTAAATATATTATCTTAAATTAAGGTCCGCATATAGACCTAATAAAAGTATTAATAAAACAATAAATGCTTTGTATACCAAAATAATAATATACTTAATAAACATTTAACAAAAACAAATTTAAAACATTCTACTGGTTTAACTTTTTGAAAATGACTTCATCAAAATTTATTTCTGATACTACTTCAGATTCAATAGCTAAAAGTGCTAAAGCAAAACATCGTTTTTGACCTTTTTTATTCACTTTAATAGTGAAAATGATCGTTCAACGAAGCAATAACTGGCAGGCATAGACAAATATATACACAGAGCGATTTCTATGTATGGATATATTACCCACAAAATAATTTTTCCTTAGCCATAACCATAAAATTTTATCTAAAATAACGATAAATGTCCTTATAATAAAATTTTATAGTCTACTTAAAATTAATTCATTAGAGTGACTTTCATCATACCATAATTTTCATTATTTTTCTCTTTTCTAAGATCTTTATAATTATTTAATTCTTTTAATAATTTGACATCTTCATAAATAGTAAAACAATTTTTACTTCTAATTGATTTTATGAAATATATTACAGATTCGTACTGATGAATAACAGCAATTAGACCTATATTCACAATTTGTTTACTTATTTTTTTTAAAGTAGTCAATATTTCACCCCAGAAAACTGAATAATGCACATTCAAACTAACTTAATTTTTTACTAATCCTTTGGTTTCATATAAAAAAAAACCAGGAAAGTTTTTGAGACATATCTATTGAAAATTGTTTCAAAACATTAATCACTTAATACCATTTTTTATTAAATGTTTTACATGCATCTTCCCTTGCTGACCAACAAATAACACATGAATTTTTTAAAATAATTTCTAACTTTAAGATTTGCCAACATTGTGTTCAGGCAGAAAAAAAGAGTAAAATGTTTGTAATATATCAAAATATGAACAAAATAAGGAACATGCTTCTTTACAAGAATAGCTGCACAAGTGCTTACTAAATTTTGAAAGTGAGAAGCACATGGTTTATAATCAGCTAGTGGATTGACTTCTTTGATACTGGCTTGTAAGCCTGAATATGCTACAGACATATTACTGGCATTGTCATATGACTGGCTTCTCATATCTTTAATATTTATATCAATGACAATGACAATGTAGTTAAGACTTCACTTGCCAAAACTTGGGACTTATAACCTGCATTTGATAGAAAACAAAAATCATTCCACGGGCTTTCTATACAAAACGTATCGTAGAACAAATGATATTTGATTAATATGTGAAAGATCAAGAGTAAAGTTAACTATGACTGAATAATACTTTGCTGATTTTACTTCTTATACTAATTTTTTTGACACTTTGTCTCCTACAATAGTTATAAATTTTTTATATACATGAGATGACAAATAATATGTTGACCTGTTCCCTCGATCTAAATCTAGATAGATTTTCTTGTTTTAGTAATATGGCTAGCTAAAAATTTGATGTCAGTTCCATAGTCATTAAATAATTTCCATTATAAACATTAACCAAAATATGACAATTTTTTACGTAATACCAGGATATCTTTAAAAAATTTGCCGCCCCCTAAAATGAGCTATCTATTTGCCGCCGCGGGTAAAGTGTAACACTTGCCCCTTATCCAAATGCGACCAGCTTAATAATTTTATTAATCTTTAAAATAAAAAATGGTTTAATTGTGTTGAATTATTGAATTTGTGCTCTATAATTTTACCTAACTGAGAAATCTAATAGAGTAATATAATTTTGAAAAGTTTGAATTAATTATTAAGGATTAAATCAGGTAACAAACAAACCAATCATTTGAAAAAATATATATTTTTAAAATTGTTATCTTTTAAAACAATAATTTAATTGTTTACAAAACAAATTTACCGCCAAAAATAATATTATTTGATAACAAGAAGCAACTGATAAAGACCACAAGATTGTTACGGAACGGTGAAATATAGCGGCCTCAAACACACTTGATAATAATATTACATATTGTTAATTTAAAGCATATATTTTATGTTATTGAATGAAATATTCATTTGATATTACTAATAAATGCTACAACGTTAATATTTAATTTTAAATAATTTTAATTATATTTAGTTTTTATTTGTAATAATGATTAATTAAATTTAATTAAATATTAGTTTCTTTTCCTGATTTTTTCTCATATCTATATTAAGTTTAAATTATTTAACTAAAGGAAAATGGGAGATTTTGATGTTCTAAGTTACTGTCGTCAATTGCGTAGTTTAAAACCTCCTCCGTATCCATGCCCAGTGCCTGATTGTGATAAAGTATACTTAAGTATGACAGGATTCCAATACCATTTAGCTCATATTCAACATTCAAGTCCTATACCTCCTTTAAATTTAGATACATCTGATAAACAAACTCCTGCTGCAACACCAGCTTCAACTAAAGTTAAAAGTAGGTAAATACTTAATTCAAGTTGACATGTTGTCATTAATTTTTTTTGTTTGTGTTACACTCCAGGCAAAAAAAAGAAAGGTAGGCGAGTAACATTTACTACACTTCCTAGGAGAGCACCCCTTGAAATAATTGAACCAGTGACACCTGTACTTTTATCAAAGTCATTATGTGAGTTAGAAGTTTCTGATAATAAATTAATGAGATTTAATGTTGAAGATCATCTACCAATTATTTCAAAAAGTGATTATATAAAAGAACTAAAACCTTCTTATAGAGTAAGTATATTAAAAAATTATATGCAAGGCTGTTGATAAAATTGTGTCTTTTCATAAAAAAAATTTTTCTAGACGTCTGCCATACTCTCTTCACTATCTAAAAGTAAGGAAGCTGTTCAAAATTTACCACAAGCTGCTTATAAAGAAGTAGATAGTTATGACATACCTCCAGCACCACCTATGCCAAATTCATACATTAGGTGAAATATTTAATTACTGACATTTTTTCTTTTATTTTAAGAGGGTTTTAATTTTTTAATTTTATGTAAATGATAAATTAATTTATTAATTAAAAAAAATTTATTGAAAAGATTTATTGAAAAATCAGTTGAAGAATTGGATACTGAAGTAGAATATGATATGGACGAGGAAGATGCAGCTTGGCTTCAAATTATGAATGAGAAAAGAGAATCATCAGGTTTAGTAGGAATATCAATTGAATCTTTTGAACTATTAATGGATCGTTTAGAAAAAGAATCTTATTTTCTTGTGGTAATTGAATCTTATAACATTGCATAAGTATTTTTTATCTTTAAAATATTTAAATATTATTTCATTAGCAAATGAATAAAGAAGTTGATAGCAGCCTAGCAGTGATTGATGATGAAGCTGTTTGTTCAATTTGCCTTGATGGAGAATGTCAAAACTCAAATGTTATATTATTTTGTGATATGTGTAATTTAGCTGTTCATCAAGATTGTTATGGCGTTCCATATATACCAGAAGGACAATGGTTATGTCGGTAAATAAAAAAATAATAAATACTAAATCAACAATATTATATTGAATTTTAATTCTAAGACGTTGCCTACATTCACCTTCATGTATGGTTGATTGTGTATTATGCCCAAATAATTGTGGAGCATTTAAACAAACTGATCGAGGTCTCTGGGCACATGTTGTATGTGCACTTTGGATACCAGAAGTTAGATTTGCAAATACAGTATGTAATACATATTTGATATAGAAAGTTATTTTATAAATGCTGAATAATAAACATAGTAAAATTAAAATTAATTTTCACCATCTGTAGGTATTTTTGGAACCTATTGATAGTATTGAAACCATTCCTACAGCTAGATGGAAGCTAACTTGTTACATTTGTAAACAGCGCGGTGTGGGTGCTTGTATTCAATGTCATAAAACTAGTTGTTATGCAGCTTTTCATGTGACTTGTGCTCAACAAGCTGGTTTGTATATGAAAATGGAGACAATATCAAATGATATGTCTAACATTGGTATGTATTCTCAAAGTAATTTTTCATCTTAAAAAATGATATTAAAAAGAAAAATACATAATTTTTATGTTCTAATAACTAGGAGAGTCTGAACCCGGTACGGTTTTGGTACAAAAAATTGCATTCTGTGATGCACATGCTCCAGCTGATTATCTAGCAGAAAATCGTAGTCGTCAGTCACCTAGTGAAAAAGTGAATAATGCTCGTCGTGTTTTAGCCAAAAAACGTCATGCTGCACCTGTCATTTCAATACCTACAATACCTCCTGAGAGGTATTCAAATCAATACAAAAATTTCAAATTATTTTTAAGATTTTATTTATTTATTTGTACATCTTGTTTGTTTGAATAGTTTTAGTAACCCATATTAATTATTAAAATTTCCATGGTTTGAATTTTTATTAACTTGTTTATAAATATAAATTAATATCCGTGCATTAATAAATTATGAAATGATACTTTTTGCAGAGTAACAGAAATAGCCAACTTGTTAACAGTTCCTAAAAAAAATCAATTTGTTCAACGTTTAATTGCTTATTGGACTTTAAAGCGACAATTTAGAAATGGTGTTCCACTTCTACGTCGTCTACAAACTAGTCAAACCTCAAGTGTTTCACGTCGCGAAGAACCAGTTGTTTCTGGAGAAAATGAAGATGACCTTGCAAGTTTTTTTTTTAAGTTAACAATATTTAACAAAAAATGTCTTGTTAATCTAATTGGCCATTTGTCATTAGCATAGTTTGCATACGGCTTTAACCCCCATAAATACATTTAATTTTTTGGATAGAAGTGGATATAAATAAATGTGGTAAAGAAGCTACCTATCAGGTTTATTATCCAATATTATGAAATAGAGGCCAAACAAATTTTTTATTAATTTTCAAATAAAAAATTTAATTTTAAATAAAAATTTTTAGTTATATCTATATTATTTCTTTATTAAAAAATCATCATATCATTTAAGATTATAAGTGTAAACTTTAATTTTTGAGGTACCCATGTTTGATAGCTTATTATTAAATGCATAGTTATTTTCATAAATTTAGCAATTATTTAATCTAGATTAATGTTGTTTTTTTAAATATTTTTAATTTATGTAATAAATTAGTTAAATTTTGATACAATCACAAATATATACTCATGTACCACAGTATCATTATACTGCTAACTAGGCTTATAACATTGAAACAGTGACACATGTATTACTACAGGAAAGCAGACTGCACACATATTTATTTTTGGGATTCACGGCCATCGTGCCATAATACGAATGTCCCAAATGACTTTTAACCATCATTGTGACTTACTTTTATTATCTAAGACATTAACTTAAATTAGCTACCATTGGTATAGTGTATGTGTGTGTCACTGTCAGCTCTCTATTGAATTAGTATCATCTCTAGATGTCCAGCAGGTTGTATTGCTTATTTAATATTTCATTACTTAATAAATATTTATATTGTTGTTAATCAAAAGTGTAATATATATACTTTTTTAGTGCGACCCTTGGTAGTTCCTCTAAGGGAATTTAAATTAAATAGGTAACCTCAATACCTAAAGTAGTTATAGCTTAGCCAGCTATTTACCATTGGTCCCATAGAATGCTCTTGACGGACATTTAGACTAAACCACTAAATAGCGATATAACAATTTATATATGTATTTATATTAAATTATAAAAAAAAATTTTTAGCTTGAGTTATACAAACAGTTGAAATATTGGCAAGCACTTCGTCAAGATCTTGAAAGAGTTCGTTTGTTGTGTGAACTTATACGTAAGAGAGAGCGTACTAAAAAAGAATTTATTAAAGTGTATGTAATTAATTAAACTATTCATTTAAAAAAACTATTTATTTTTTATATTATAAGTATAACATCATATTCAAATAATTTTACAATATTTCAGTCATGAACAATATACTATGAAATCATTATGGCCTTTTAATGCCTTTTTAAATGCTATTCTTCAACAATTGATTGCAAAAGATACAGGTCAAATTTTTATAGAACCTGTTGACCAAAATGAAGTACCAGATTATGGTGATATAGTTAAACATCCAATGGATTTACAAACAATGGAAACTAAAATAAAACATTCAGAGTATAATTCTTTTGAAGACTTTGAAAATGATTTTAATTTAATGATAGCAAACTGTTTAGCATATAACTCTAAAGAAACAATTTTTTATAAAGCTGGAATAAAAATGAGAGATCAAGTAAGTTATGACTTTAATTATTCAATTTAAAAGTTATATTTCGTACTATAAAATTGTAATTAATAATATTTTATTGATAATGTTTTTACAATTAAGTGATAATTGAATTATGAGGAACTAAATATAATGTATTATTAATGTAATATTTCTTTTAGGGTGGAACAGTTTTAAGAACAGCGAAAAGAGATCTTAAGCTTCTAGAGTTAGAACCCATGTCTTTGATGCTGACTAATAAAACTAAAAAAGATAATGAAACTCCTATACTCCAAGAAATTAAAACTGAAGAAATTAAAGATGAAATTACTTTGGAATTTGATAAAGAATTAAAAGAAATATGTAATCCATCTAATACTATGGGAGATGATGATCGTATGTGTAAACTATTACAACTAGCTGATAAATGCCATGGTGGACGTCAATCTAAACGTGCTAGGTTAATAAAATCTGAATTGTCTAAACTAAAAGTTAAAATAGACACAGAAGCTAATACAACAAGTAATGGTAAGAACAATTTTATTTTTTTCTATTCCTATTAAATGATACAAGATGTTAAACTTATAAAAAATATAAATTCGTAAAATATATTTAAAGAAAACCGTGTTAAGTTAAAAATCATTGTTTATTTACATAATTATTTATTATTTAAATTAACATTAATAATCTTTTAAACATATTGCAAAAATGATTTATTTTTTTATTATTTCTGATCCAGATGAAACTGTTGATGAAAATGACAAAGTTGAGGAAGAAAAAACAACCCCAAGACGTACTACCAAAAAAAACCTTGAACAACAGTCTATGGATAATTTTATATTTAAAAAACCAGATACTCCAAATACTGATTCACCTACTGTGTAATATAAATTGTTTTTTCTTATTCAAGAGTTTTTCAAATAACAAATTTTGAATGTTCAATAACCTTTGTATGTAGTTTTACAATGTACTACTATATAAATAAAACAAATGTTCATTCGAGCTTAGAACATTCAATAATTGTTTATGCCTTTTTTAGGCATTTTAAATAAAATTATTTAATTGACAATTTTTTTTCTTCTTTAATATGACTAAAAATATTTTTATGTAGCACTCCTCGATCTTCATCTAGAAAAAAAATGTCTTCTGACCCTTTTATAACCCCACCTTTAATAAGACATACTAGGCAATCAGCTAATCTGGAAAGTTTTAAGGCTTATAGATCAAGTAATTTTCCTAAAACTAGTAATGAGTATCAATATAAGTTCTATTTTTAATACTTTATTTTATAAGACAAAAAGACAGATACTGAAGATGAATCACCTTCTGATGAAGAATCGAGTTATTTTGATGATTCAGAATCTGAAACAAATTCTAGTAGTTCTACGGGTAGTGGTAGTGGATCATCATCTGAATCGGCTAGTTCATCTAGTACTTCTTCAGATTCTGAATCAGAAAAAGAACAGAAGAAGAAAGGAAAAAAAGATGATTTTGCTCAATTACAACTTGTGTGGGCTAAGTGTAGAGGATATCCATGGTACCCAGCATTGGTAAATAAAAATAAATACATTTTTTTAAGTTTCCATTAAATATAATTTTTTTTTTTTTTGTAGATAATTGATCCTAATATGCCTGCAGGGCACTTGCATAATGGTATTCCAGTTCCAAGCCCTCCATCTGAAGTATTAAATTTAGCCAGCAATTATAAAGAGTTAGTTTACCTCGTCTTATTTTTTGATGCAAAGCGAACTTGGTAAGTTTTTAAGTTTAATATTTAATTTTTTGCTTAAGAATTTTGAATACTTTAGGCAATGGCTACCACGTAATAAGTTAGAACCATTAGGTGTCACACAAGAATTAGATGACATTAAGTTGACAGAGTCAAAAAAACCTGCTGATCGAAAGTCAGTTCGAAAGGCTTATATGGAAGCTCTTGTTTATAAAACTGATCCAATGATACCATCATCAACTTATTTAAGGCGATCAAATAGAAGTTAATTTATTAGTTATTTATTTTATTTATTTATTTTTGAGATGATAATTTCAATCTTTTATGTAAATCACCTAAATTATCTATTTGGCTTTGTAACCTATGTGTTTATTATAATAAGTTTTTATATATTTATTGTTTATATCATTTTTTTATTTTAAAAAGAGCAAAAAATTATTTAAAGATTTTTATTTGATATAATAAGTTATGCGTAATTATTTTCGAACCTTAAAAAATTGTTAACAAACCAACTTCTTAAAAATTTCTAAATTTTAGCAATTAAATACAAATTTAAAATCTTTAGCACATATAAGTTTTTTATAATTATTAATTTTACCATGCACAAAATAAAGACCTTCCGTCGTATTTTTGTTCATTACATTTATGTTTATTTCTGTAAAATATTTCGTGAATTATAGTTAAACAATGACACTGCATATTTAAAAATAATTTTTTTAGTATTACTAGAATTATAACTGCTATCAGCACTTGAGTGAATGCTATATGCAAATACAAAATTAATTAAATTACTAAATGTGATATATTTTAACAAATAGTACACAAATATTTCATTAAAATTTTCAGAACAAAAATCTAGTATTCTTCAAGTAAGCTTTGTTAATTTTCGGCTTATAAATAAATAATATTGCAAAAAAGAATAGTAAAATTTGGTCTAAATTAAAATTTATAAATATTTTAAAGGAATGAAATATTTATTAAATGAATGATTCAAATGACTTAAAATAATATATTTTTTGTTTAACGTCAGGGGCTGTTGACATAAAGGAGATAAGTCGTCGGGACAATTTTTTTAATTTATAGTACGTAACATAGCTTTCTTTCAACATATTTTTAAAGCTCGAAATATTTCTGGAACATTTCCAAAAATTAAGTTGAAAGAGTTCTACTTTTTACACATATTTTTCAAGTTTTGAACTTCTGTATAAAAAGAAATGGTCTGATTTAAAAAAATGTATATCAAATGACAAAGGTATAATTTATATATTTATAAAAAATATTATATTTATCGATACATTTTTCAAAAAGATATAGAAATTTATAAAAGGCGAATGTCGAAAATTTTAACACAAAATAGCATGTTTTTTAACTATAGCTGCCATTTGCACATAGTAGATAAGTCGTTGAGAAAAATTTATTTTATAACTTATAATACATAATATAAACTTTATTTTAATATATTTTTAAAGCTCTGAGTATTTCCGAAACATTTTTAAAAATTTATTAGTTTTTGTGCAGAAGTTGCTAATTTGAATCCCCTCTGTGGGCAGGTAAAGAGTTAGATTTTCAAAAAATGTCAGGAAAATACCTAAGGTGATTGTATAAAAAGAAATTGTTTTTATTCATATATTTTTCATAAAATCATGGGTAGTTAATAAAAAAATTATTGAATTTTACTGATTTTAAATTGACCAATACGTTAAAAAAACACGATTTTCATCTTGTTGAACATATAATCGCGCAAATATTGGTAAAAATCTTTTAATTTTAGAAATTTGGACAAATATCTCAAAATTACACTACTGTAAAAAAATGGGCACTTTAAAAAAATCTTTTTTAATTAAATATCTCCAAATTAATAAGAGTATTAAATTAGTTTTTATACTGAATTACACAATAAAATCATACCACTAAAATGAAATATTTTTTAATTATTAAAAAGACCAAAATTATTTTACTAAATCAAATTTTTACGCTGATTCCAAGCCTGAAATAAAATGTTTTAAATTACCTCTTTTTTAAGCTTATTACTAATTAGAAAGCAAATATTTACACATGAAAAAATTAATTAATTAAAAAAAAAAAAATTTATCAAGTTAATATGTTAAAAATAATCCATGTAAAATTTCAATTCAAAAGATTATTTTTAACTTATTTTTTTGATCCTTTAAAATTATTTTTATAATTTAAAAATGTTGAACTTTTAAACACTATATTAGCTCAACTTGCAAGTTTAGAATTTATATCATTAAATATAAAATTTTACGAGGAATAAAAAATTGTATTTTTTGATTGACTTGTGATTAGGAACTTATAATAATACTGTAACAGTAAATTTATATGGAAAATTCAAAATCTCGTTAAAAACACTATTTTTTTTTATTTTTATTGTACAATCAAATTTATTACATAATAAATCATTGAAATAGAAGTCTTAGTAATCATTTCTATGTAATTCTTAGTGTTTAAATAGATGATACAATTGAAATATTCTGAACTATATCGTATAGTATATAGTTATATCCTATAGTATTCTATAATGTATTGATATTCAAAAATATTCCGTGTCTAATTTCACCTATGATTTCGTCCACTGATTTGTTCTTTAATTTTCTTCTTCTTTAGTATTTAATCCTGAGATTAGTTTGTAGTAATTCTCCACTCTTCCCTATTACTTGCTTNGTTTGTAGCAATTCTCCACTCTTCCCTATTACTTGCTTTCCTCTTTGTCTCTTCATAAGAAATACATCCTTGGTCCTCTATTATTTGTTGCATATATTCCATTCGTGGTCTTCTCTAACATTTTTTCCTTCCACGCGCCTTCTATAATCAATTCTAGCAACCCACCATGTCTCAATACATGTCCAATCCATTAATTTCTCCTTTTCTTAATACTGCTCCATAATGTTCTTCTCTCGGACATTCTTTCTAATACTTCCTTGTTTGTTACCATGTCCGTCCAACTTATTTTGAGCATTCTTCTGAAACACCACATCTCGAAAGCTTCTATTCTTCTCCGCTCTTCTTTGGCAATCGTCCACGTTTCGCTGCCATACACCATTATACTCCATACGTATGTCTTCAGGAGATTTATTCTGGTGCGTATGCTAATATTTTTTTAAGTAAAAAATCCTCTCTTTTTGTTAAATGCTATCTTAGCTTGGCATATTCGCTTTACTATTTCTTTTTTACTTCTGCCATCCTTACTTACTATGCTTCCCAAATACGCGAACTCTTCTACTTGCTTTATTTCTTGGTTATTTTGCAGATGTATTCTTGTCGTAATATTATTGCTCCTGCTGCATACAAGAACTTTGGTCTTTTTCGTATTTATTTTCATGCTCAGTTCATTGAGCAGAGTTTCTTCCATACACCTCAGCATCCTTTGCAATTCTTCTTCATTTTCAGCTATGACTGCTATATTGTCTGCGAACCGTAGCATATCGATTTTCCTGCCATTTATCTTTATACCCAAATGTATTTTCTCTCTAATTATGTCAATTGCCTCCTGGATGTATGCATTGAATATGCTAGGTGAGAGAGTACTACCCTGCGTTACTCTTTTTCTTATGCGTGCTTCTTCCTCAGTTTTTCCAAATCGTATAACAGCTGTTTCCTTCTGGTATAGTTTAAAGAATAGTCTCCTTTCAGTGTATTCTATACCCGCTTTTTTAAGCATCTTGAACATTATTGCCCAGTAGACATTGTCGAACGCTTTTTCTATATTAACAAAAGCTATGTATGTAGGCTTATCTTTTCTAATTCTTTTCTCGATAATTATTCTTAAAGCCAGTATGCTCCCTTTGTACCCATGTTTTTTCTGAACCCAAACTGGTCTTCTGACAATATGGCTTTGATCTTATATTCCATTCTTCTTGACATAATTTAATGAATTATCTGTTAATATAGTTTTCTCTGCAGAAGTTAAAGAGTGCTCTTTTTTTGCTCTAATTGTTATTTTTAAATATATTTCCTTGGTTTTTAATGAATTTGGTTGTAACGTCGAGTCGATATTTTGTTCAGTCTTAATACTAGTTATTTGGGGTTTTTGTGTCGAATGTTATATTTTTATTTTCAATTATTAATGTATTCAATATTTTGTAGTAATTTTCATCAAAGTGGTCATTTCTCATGTCACTAGTATTTATCGTTGTATGATGATGTTGAAGCGAAGTGATTTCTTCTAATTTTTAATCGATCACAATCGTAGGTTGTTTATTGTTGTATGAGTATAATTCGTTTTTAATACCATTTTAAGAATGAAATATTTACGTTTTTCTTTTTATACCATTACAACTAAATCGATTTGTACTGCTATTTCTATTAATGTTACTGTTGGTACTTACAAAACTATCGCTTATCTTATCATTATAACTATTTCTACTACTATGGCTAATACTAAAGTTGGTATTCTCCTTAAATGTCGTTGTAGAAAAAGTTTTGTAGTTTGAGTATGTGTTGTGTTATGATTCTTTATTGAACCATCTATGTGCAGTTTATCCGTTGTGTCATCCAAAAATAGTTACGCCAAACGATCTGGGCCCATGAAGTCCGACCCCTCCCAGTAGGAGAGCCTCATTAAATTTTAAACTTTTTGAACTACTTTTCATGATATATAAAATTTCGTCTAAATTTTATACCTCCTGTTAGGTTTTTTCAAAATCGTGTCCTTCATAATCTGTACATAGCCATTGTTTTTTGTTTGGTCACCAAGCTGTATCAAAAATCACTTTGTTTAGTGCTTCATCATCTTAATAATAAAATTAGCGGTGTTTAGTTCAGATCCTCCAAGATGTCGGTGGTTGACCGACCCAACCGACATTGCCCTTGTCCGCGACCGCTTATTCGTCCGAGCCAATAAATTGGTGACAGCTTATTTCGCGGCTATCTATAGGACGTTCCCCTTTCGCAGCCTCAGGGACGTGGCCGATGGCAGGACATGTCACGGGGAATACTTAACTAATACTTATAAATACTTTGGTGGTACGTTTACACATTGTTAAATATCACAGTGACAATACATTTACATATGTTTATATTACAAAAATATAATAATTTTTTGTTTTTGAATAAAAAAAGATATATTTGGATTATTTAAATAAAAAATGAAAATTATCATTTCTATTTTGAACCCTATGCGATACTTTTTTGTTTATTTCTTACAATATTTTTGTGAAGTGGTATGTAAAATTCAATTTGTTTAGATATTTGAATTTGAATTAAAGAAACATTATTATTTTTTCTATCCAATATAATGTTCGATACCAATTGGTTATGGTTTTCATTTCTTAGCATATTTATATAATAAATATCACTATTATTTATATATTTATCTCATTAAAATAATTGAAATTGATTTAGCAGTAATGTTTGAAGTATTTACTTAATAAAGCAACCGAATTTTATGATAAAATTTAAAATGAATGCATCTAAAAAAAAAAATTAAAAATTATTTTAAACATACTTTTTTTTTTTAAATTTCAGTCAGATTAAAATTAAATATTCTAATAGTTTTTTAAATGTGTATTGTTTACAGTAGTAACTACAGATAACACAAATATTAA